ATTATTTCTGCTTCTCTCCCTTTTCCATGCCCAGTCTCTCTGTCATGCTCTCAGTCTCAGCCGAGGCCTGGGTGTCGATCCCTGAGGACGTGACGCTGGAATGCCTATCTCAGGCGTCTGCAGATGAGTATTGGGAACTATCTTAGATTCAACACAATTTTCCAAATCAAGACTGAGGATTTAAATGAAATCTTACAATGTTATCTCTCAGGTCGAATTGGTCACTCAAGTGTGCTGCCCTGATAGACTGATAACAAAGACCACTTATTTTTTATTATCCACATGCCACAGATGACATCTGACTGCATGTGTGCACAATGTGTAGATGCTACAGTGCTTGTGGGTAGTGTATGTCATCCGTTCTTTCTTCAGCTCTTCAATCAAATTTGTTTATGTTGCAGTGTAATTCAGTGTGGTATTCAAAAGATAGATCATAATCCACAGGACAATCCTTGTATTCTTCTTGTAATATGCACACAACAGCAGCACCGTCCCCAGACATGCGAGCTTTGGTGGTTGTCTGTGTTCACCAGATAAAGAGGAACAATGGTTCTAATAGGCAGCAGAGAGTCTCCACAACCAGTGTTTCGGCGCTGCACATTTGTTCTCACAAAGGCTAAATGTATTTTGAGTGGCAGATTAAGGATATTGGTCAGGGGCTCTGTATTGTCAAGTCTGAAAAGTGGGGTAAATGTGTGTTTGGATGATAATTCACACATTCTTAGGCTCGACGGCGGACAAAAAAGCCATACTGTTCCTGGTTTTGGGAAATGTGTTTCACAGATTGTTAATTATGGGTAACATAATCTCATTAAGTCCTTTTGCTTTGCGACTCGATTTCTTTTACAAGCATTAGTCATGATTGAGTAGTTTATGGGTTTAAGTTCCTCTTTTGTCTGAGTTCAAAAAAATGACCGTCTTCATAAGGGCTCAGTTTTATCCCATTTGTATTCCACAAGGAAGCATGGATGTCCAGGAGCAGCAGCAGCAGCAGCAGCAGCAGCAGCAGCAGCAGCAGCAGCAGCTCAGTTTGTCTGGTCAAGTGTCTGTAATACCAAGACTGTCTTAGAAAGACATAAACATCCAAAAGTGATTAGGTGGACACAAACATGACAATGTTGCTCCATAACTGCTAGATGTGTAATTAAGCAACTCTCTGCTAACACATTCGCCATATCAGCAATCAAAGGTGATGATATGTCAATGTTGTGTTCACAGCTTGTGTCTGCCGAAAAAAAAAAAAAAATAGAATTGCAGGTTTCAGCAAAAGTAGCAAAACTGCACTTATTAATAGGCGATATGATGAAAACACTCAGTTATTAAAGAGTAAAAGTGCAGAAGCATTTTCAGCAAGATTTACTTCAAGTATCAAAAGTATTGATTATGCAGATTGGCCGTTATCAGTTTAATAACCTGTATATTGTTAGATTATCATTATTATTGGAACAACTAGTGAGTACAGCTGAAGTGAAGTTAAAAGTACAACATTTTAGATGTAGAAACGTAAAGAATCAGCAAATAGAAATATTAAAGTAAGACATAAATACCCCAGAGTTGTACCTACAGTGAGCTCAGTACCACTGCACTCCACAGCTTACTGTACATATATCTGTTGACATGTCCCCTTCAAGAAGAGCATTGATAACCAGCTATCTGAGTATTTTGTTGAACGGATATCCTTCATCTGATCCAGGCTGCCCTCTAGGGATCTTGGAGGGTGAAGCCAAAGCTAGACTTCCTCTGTTCTTCCCTCTTCACTTTCAGATGTTGAATGCTTTGAGAAAAATCTCTTTTCAAAAATGTATTTGAAATACAGATGATTTTACTCTAAATAAATATCAAGGTGAGCATGATCGATGCTATGGTAGCTGTTTTTGCGAAGATTATTGATTGTGAGAGTAGGTTACTCTGGGCCTTGTTTTCACCTAATGATCTCAGTAAATCTTGTATTTCATCGGGGACGACAGTCAGTTAAGACACACTGCAGGACACGGCGTCTCTAGTCTCTGGAAGGTGTGATTGAGTCCTTGAGAGCTCCTTGGATAGAAAGACATGGCAATTGCTCCTCTGTCTGTGCTAGAACATGTCAACATGCCCTGTGTATCCATGTTGGCCGCACTGGCTATCGATGTTTATTTTAGACCAGTGATGTGTCATTAATAGCTCCGTCGTCCACAGGGCTGATGAAAAAACTCTTAAGTCCCTGGTATTCACATGACATTGCCCTCCCTCCGAGTGTAAACATTGTGAAGACAGATTAGTTCTGCTGCTGTGGCTAAAGAAGATTAGCAGAGATTATTAACAAACATGTTGGATTAAATAGATAGTATCACTTCCTTCTTTGCAGACATCCCAACCGTGTGACTAAAACAGAATTTGGGATGCAACTGCTCAGACCAGCAGCATGGTTAAAACATCACGCCTCAGCTCGGTAGCAGTCCACACAGGGATTGGACGCAGTGCTGCCTGGATTCAATCTTCTTGGTCCCAATTAAAGCCAGATTTACTGACATCAGTCACAGTTCATCACAGTGATTATGCTCAAGCTGTTCAGCGAGGAGATGATACAGAGCTTATGGGAGCTGCCACTAATTGGAAGTCCTCACTCTCTCACTTTGTGTCCACTCATAAACCTACCTATTCCGTTGCAATATCTGTCACATATCTACATGGGACAGCTTTAAATAATGTATTCATGCAACGCTCTACACACTAAAAACCACTCACTCAAAACTGACCCAGTTTGTGTACTACCGGGTTATTTACCCACGCTATGGTTTGGCTGCAAACTTACATGTCACTGTTTGTTTCTGCTTGTTAATAATAAGTGTATCCTTTACAGTTTGAATGTCATATGCACAGTGGTGGAAATTAACTTTGTACGTTTACTCACGTACTACACTAAAGTACTAATATGAAGTATCTGTACTTTACCATTGTATTCACACATTATGATATTTGATATAAAGTTTTACATGTATATACTCCACTCTGTTTAAAGGGAAATATTGTAGCCAAGTTATTACTACACTTCACTTATCTAACAGATAGATTAAATAATAATTTATATAACATTATAAATCAAGACTTTGCAAACATATACAAATATATGAACAACTTTAAAACAATGATGTAATGTAAAAACAATTAAATAAGCTTTGAGCTTAAACAATTAGTCATTATGCTTTTAGTTGATTAGTCAATTATCAAAAATTCCCGAGCAACTGTTTTTAACACTGGATAATCATTTAAGTAATTTTTCATGCGAAAATGAAATTAATCATTTCATAGTTTTTAACCTTTCAAGCATGATGATTTTTCTTTCTCTGAGCATTTATCATTATTGTCTTACATTTTACAAACCCGACAATAAAAAAATTGATCAAGAAAATAACGAGCAGATTGATGCATAATGAAAATAATCATTAGTTGTGGCTTTGTATGAAAAATAGTAAAAAAGATTGTTCCACCTTAAACAAGAGTAAAATTCTACTTACACATTAATGCACAAGTAACAATAATCTAATGATATACTGTATAATAGGAAACATACACTGGCCATTTCTCTGTAATGAGTACTTTTGATAAGCAGGACTTTTACTTGTAACTGAATATTTTTAGATACTGATACTTTTACTTTTGATATCATGATACTGGTATGATACTGGTACTTTTACTTAAGTAAACAATGTGAATGCTTCCTCCACTATTACATATGCACATTGTTTTGTACAGTTAAAAATAAAATTGTGACATTTATAAGGTAAAACTTGAGTTGTTGTTTCTAACATTGGGTCAAAAAACATATTTTAGTTTGGGTAAATAACCCAAATATATAAAACAAATATAGGTCAAACCCACTTATTGGGTAAAGTTAACCCAGTATTGTGTTGGCACTATATTGAATCAAACTGGGTTAAATTTTGACCCAGTGATTTTTGGTTGATTGAAGATAAACCGAGATTCAAAGAGAAAACCGGCCAGCCGTAAGCCATAGACTCTGTTTATCTGATTTTCACATAATGTTATCTAAGGTTATAAATAAATGTATTGATTCACTCACATAAGCAATTTTCGCCCATCTGAAAAAAAGGAGTCAATATGCACCTTGCAGGGACATGATAAGAAAGGATCATTTAAACATACATTTGTATTAATGGCATTGTTCTCTTCTTGAATGGCTCGCCAATGTATCTTGTATTGCAGGTGCCCAAGGCCCGGCGCTATGGGGCTGTAGTCATGCAGTATGCTGGAAAATGAAGTTTGACCTGAAGTGGGATAATGCGACCTGGTATGAGATCACTAATTTTATCTGCTGTCAGGTATTTTCTTTGAGGCCAGCTCAATGAGTCAGAATCTTTGATCATGTATTATTCAGTTCTTGAAAACACACATAGAAATATGTATAAGATAATACCGTGTCAATTAAAAATACACAAACAACTAAAAACAGCACTTTAGAATGTTGTCATATTTGGTGGCCTGGCCTGCAGCTATAGTAAAAGTGTCGGTGTTATATACACTGACACTTTTTGTGCCAGTGAGACTAAGAAAAGTATTTCAGTTCTTCAGCCACATATGCAAATGCAGTCTTATTATTAAATACACACAGGGTCCCCACACTTATTTAAAAGTTCAATTCTAAAACATTTTCATAACTTCATACTGAATTTTTATGACTGTACTAAAGCGGTGCTGCAATGAAACAGCTTTTACAGATCCCCATGACACTGAAAATGTATTTTACTGTAAAATAAAACTTAAGGAATGAATAAAGTGGGATTTGAATTTTTGGGCAACAGGATTCCGGGGAAGGTCTTTGAAGAGAGAAAGTCTGTTGTCTGTTCTCCCGACTTTTAATTTTCTCATTTTCAATTACTGTGCCCTTGTTGACCTATTGAGAATTTCTGGGAGGTTCAGGGAAAAATGCTGTAAAGAACTAAACCCTCAGTGACAATGGCTTTAGTTTAATTGCAGTTTAATAGGAGAGATGTGTTGCATGTGAGCCAGTTCTCACATGATAGCGTCCAGTGCCATCTAGTGGTACAAAGATGATATTAAGCATAAGTGGTATGACTGTGTGTTCTGAATTTTGACTCATTATTTTATATCAGTCCCTCAGGAAAATTACTTTTTATTATAAACAAAGCAGAACCATATTAGTTTATAAAGTCATTATGATAATTGTACTGGAAGGAACAAGGGCAGGTTTTGGATGATTGATGAACAAAGGCCATTAGAGTTACAGTTGTCACATAATATGATAATAATAATAATAATATACATAAAATAACCATTAAAATACCAAATTTTAATCTACAGATATGCAGCAAAGGTCCAAAGAGTCCAGTAACCTCATCCAAAGTAGAAAATCATTTTTTATCAGTAATAGCCCGTATACACTATGTCCTGCAGTCGAACCTGTGCAGTGTCATCTTCCTACACTCACTAAAATAGATTCATAGTCAGCAAGTTCATCCATCTGTTTCATGCGCTGTTTTATCGTCCTGGCTCATTTTAAGTTCTACTGCCTCTTCAGAAGTCCTCATCTCCACAGCCACAGCCTGCCTCTGCTCCTCGTCCAGTCTCTTGTAATTGTAGTAATGCATGATAAAGAAAAATATGCCAGGCACCAGCATAAACACACCACATGCATAGTACATGTATTTGTAGTCCCCGAAAATATCAACCAAGGCTCCTGAAAGAGAAGATACACACTTCATTGGTCACCATTTTACAAAGTCCTCAATTTTTTTATACTGTATGTAAATGCCTCTATGTGGCTGTGAATTTACAAACCTGAAATTGGAGGTCCAAGAAGCACTGGCCCACACTCGACAATGGTGACGAGTCCAACTGCACTGGAGAAGCGATGAGCTCCAACAAGGTCCATCAGAACTTCAAAGAGCAGGGCAGAAACCATCCCAAAAGCCAAACCAAAGAAGACCGCATAAACGACCAGCCCCATATATCCAGATGCCAGTGGGCACAAAAGGTGACATATACCATTATACGAAACAGCAAAACTGAAGAAATATTGGATTCTTGGCCTAATCCACTTGGTGTTGCCAATGAGACCAGTTGCTGGTCTGATAAACATGTCTACCAGTGCAAAAATAGAAAGCAAGAAAGCTGCTGAATATTCATCAATCCCTTGATGTTTGGCATATGGTGCCAAAAAAACCACAGGTGCGAAAAAGCCAAAAAACATGACCACATTACCAGTAAGATAAATGAGGAAACCCCGGTGTCTGAAAAGTGACAGATCTATGAATTTGCGCACGTGGCCCTGACTCCTACTCTTCTCACTTTGGTTTTCTTCAGTTAGGAGGTTAGCCGACTGTGCACTGGTGTCCGCAGTAGCACCTTCCTCAGCAGCTGCCCCGTTACACAGAGGTGGTTCAGTCTTTGGTTTGGGTTGGACACTTTTGTTGACTGGTCTCATCAGAGCACCAGCCACACAGCAGTTCAAAACAATGGATCCCAGGATGAGGAAGCTCCCTCTCCAGCCAAAACAATCAAACAGAAACTGATTAAGAGGAGCCAGAGTGGACAGAACAACCGGACTTCCTGTCATCGCGAGCCCGTTCGCCAGCGGCCTTTTGACCTGGAAGTAGGTACCTATGATCGTCAGGGCTGGCTGCAGGTTGAAGGCGAGGCCGAACCCTGGTGAAAAAAATGATATGGTTAATTTAACATTATAAAAAATTGATAATGCTTGGGTGAACATACAGCGAAATGAGAATAAAAACTTGTCATGTTGCTGTCTTGTCAAGATTAATACCAATTTACACTGAGATAGTAAAATCATTTACAAAGTTAAATTATATAAACAAAATTTATTGCCTGTGAGGAACGCATGTAGACACTTGACTTCCCATCTTCATCAGCAACAGATTAAGCAAAAAGATTTTCAGTGTCACACATTGACTGACGAGGAATTCAGGTTTTGTTTTGAACTACAAACTGCATCATAAAGTACACCATCAAGAGAGCAGTATTCTTTTTATTCTCCCATAAAACCTCCTTGCCCACATTGCTATAGAAATTCAATTTTTTTAATTCAATTTTACCTGCAATATGTTGTATTAGAGTTTGTTATAGATGCACTGTTAGAGGAGCTAATATGAATAGAATTAGATTATGAATTAGTCTGAGGCTGGAACAAAACTACAAATTATAGGCTATGAGTAACCATATGTTGCAATTAAATCTAAGAATCTGGGGTCTTCTTTGTTTTCAGTAGTTCAAACAATTTGTACTTTTATTAGAGTTGATACAATGATTTTAGAAAATGTAACTGTAAATATTTTGATAATCAATTGTCATCTTCGAAGAAACATATTCTGTTTCTCAGTTATGGGCTTTTGCTTCTTGTCATTTGTGATAATAAACTGAATATCTTTTGGTTTTGGACTGTTGGTCAGATAAAAGAAGGAATTCGAAGATGTTACCTTGGCTTTTAGGAAATTGTGTCTGAACTGTTTCACTACAAAAAGGCATTTCATAAAACAAATGAATGATTAATTAAGGAAATAATCTACTAATCTCATGAAAATAACACAGCCCTGGTTATCATTTCTGACATATTTTATTTTATATCCATAGTGGTCCAGTATGTTTTATTTCAAGAGAAAAGTCCCGCAATTATTTCCTTGTAGCATTCCTTTTTGTGCCCTAGTGTTTGGTGCACCTCTACTAGATTAAAGGTTTGAGTTTAAAGTCTGAGAGGTTTGTTTGCTCACTGTTAGTAACGTGTAGTAACATGTGGTCTGGCATGCATGTGGATTTTCTCAATGCATTTGCTTTAGCACGACATTTTCAAAAACTGAGGTCTGACCCAAGTCTAATAATAGCACCGTTTTGACTGGACATGGAAATTTCATTGCAAATTATGAATACAAATTACAAATTCATTACAAATATTTACACATTGCAAAGAATGGCCAACATTAACCCCACACAGAGACACAAACAATCCTAGTGGACTGGCCCTGAAAGTCCTCATGAATGTGAGTTACGCCACAACCATTGGATCGTCCTGTGTCAGCCAGTCACAACCAGGCAACGTAAAGTAAACATTACAGAGAAGAGCAGCCGCCTCAGTAGTAGAATTAATCATTATTATGAAAGTGAATAAATTTCAGGGATATTTTACTGAATCGCTGACAAGTAACATCATATATGATTATTAATGAAAAAAGAAAAAATGTTTTACCTCCAATTACTCCAACACAAAGATACAGATGCATGATCGTAGTGCCAAAAGAAGCGAGCACCATGGCAGCACTAACCATCAGCCCACCGACCAAAACCACAGGTCTGCTGCCATAGCGGTTGACTAGTATACTGCTCACAGGTCCTGCACAAAGGAAAGAAAACACTCATGTTTTGGGTATTTTACAAACGGTTGGTTAAATAAAGGACAAAAAGTTAGTCAAACTGTTCATTGCATATGTTATGTGAGAATGTGCAACTTCTTTTTCTTTTAAATGACTTTGTCAAATTTGATGCCACCAACCTCCTGCATACATAGACGCCAGCATGACTGAGGACACCCAAGCAATCTCACTGTAGGAAACTGAAAAATATTCCTGAATCTCCTTAAAGTAGATGGTGAGGGACTTGGGAAAGGCATAGGAGAATCCTATGGAGATGAAAGCAGCAAAGACGACAGCCCAGCCCCAGCCTCCATCTGGTGGGGTGTAGCCTAGATTGGTTGGTGCTGCAGGGGGCATGATTGATTCACCAGCTGGGTAGTGGGAACAGGTAAAAGAAGTGAACAGAGTATAAGCAACTGCACATTTTCAAAATATATACAGTCTGCATAGCACAACAGCTCACCTCTGTACAATCCTTGAAAACGTATTGACCAGGCTATGAACTCTGCTGCTGTGCCAGGCTTTGGCTGTCTCCCTCACAGAGACCCTGCTGTAAGGCCTTTGATCTCATCACGTGTGCTTGCATGATAAATACAAGTGACCACACACACACAAAAAACCACCAATAGCCTTGCTAGAGACAGTGACCTCAGTGTATGGTGTTTGTCTGCTTGTGTGTGCAAGTACTGCGGATGGGCTTGGGCAAAATGCCAAAAATGTTGTATTGTGGTATATCCTGTGATGATAAGGAATGATAAATGAATGATAAAACAGCCAGGTGGAGATGTCTGTTTTTGTTAATCTAGTGAATTAAATACCTCACAAATTAAGGTGCTTCATCACACTGCTATAACAATCCTACTTCAGCAGCAATGGTCTGATGGTCAACCAGAGCTATTGAAGGAATAGCTATCGGGGTACAATCTCTGAGAGTTGACAATTTCATTAAGAATAAAATTTCAATGAGAATTCAATACATCAAATTGGTATCACCTACAGTACAAACCTGATAAAGGGCATAGTTTATCTGCCTTGATATAACCAATCACATTTATAAATTCAGTTTCTTCACCAATGCCATTAGAAAATATAACATATAGTCTCCACTATTAGTTACATTGATTCAGTCAGGAACAATGCCAACAGTTCAGCCCCATGCTGACTGTATACAGCAGTTTCATTATTTCCCCAAGCATCCAGAAACCAACCAGTGCTCTAGAGCGGAAATGGCAACAATTACGATAATTTTTTAGCAAAAATGCCAAAAATTCTCTGGTACCAGCTTCTCAAATATGACTATTTGCTATTTTCATACTTTTTTACCACAATAAACTCAACAAAAGCCATTTGAATATGTGAACTTGAGCTACAGAGAATGATGATGGACATTTTTCACTCTTTTCTGACATTATTTTGACTGAACAATGGATGAATTATCAAACAAAATGATTGTCAGATATAGTGGTACTGAAAATAATTGTTAGTTGCAGCCTTCCTTCCTCCTATTATGAAAAAAAAACCCTGCCTGAGGTTTTCTTTTTATTAATTACTGGACACAGGAAAAATGGAAGCAGTTTGATATAACAACAAATGACCACAGGATAAAGTAAAACAAGCCAGGTCTCAAAACTGGGGCTACAAGATAAAGGGATAAAAGATGAAGAACCAGTAATAGTTGAGATTTTACTTAATCATATATCATTATATAGACTGGAATGACCTGGGGGCCCTGGACAGTTTCCCACTTTGCCTGATATCACAGAGTCAGTTTTTAGTGCCACAACAATCCCTATCCTTGTGCTACTATATAAAAGTGATTCCATGCAGTGAAGAAGACAGATTTGAAATTGGACTGGTACTCAGTACTAACAGATATCCAGAGTTTAGGTATCAGAATTGGTATTGGAAGAGAAAAAGTTGCATTGTGCAGTGCACCCTTAAATTTCTGTCCATATTCTGAGAAATATGAGATCTGGGTAGTTCTGGGTAGTTCCGACTCATCACTTTTCGTACAAAAATGTTGAAACAATTTGCATTATCAGTAGAGCTAACACGATTTTTCTATTAATTGATTAGTTGATTATTAGAAAATGTATTGGTAAATATGATAAATAAAAATGAAGCCATGTCTTTTAGGAAATTGTGACTGACCTTTTTCACTATATTTATACATCTTATTAACAAAACACTTAATTAACTGATAAATAATTTGTGGATTTATCAGTAATGACAATAATTGTTAATCACAGCATGTATTTTATGTATCAGACAGGACGTGTGTTGTGAAACCTGTCACTTTTTATATGCTATTTGCTCCTCTGATAATCTTTAAAGTTTATACTGGGGTTTTCTGTCCATAGTCTAAATGAGTACCTACACCTGATCTGGCTAGTACCACCTTACATCATTTTAAGATGGAAATTATTTTGTTAGTATTCAACAACAGCATGTGCCTTGAGTCCTAGCCACAGATTTGCCGTCAAAGCCTTGTGGGACCTGTGGTTATTAAATGCAAACAAAATAAGCTGTATTTTATCTTAATGAAATCTTCATTAAAAAAGTAAGTTCAAATAGTTGTTAATTGGCTGTTATAGTAGATTCCATTTATCTTGAATATGAATATGAGCAGGCAACTTTTAGTGTAAAGCACATTTACTCAATTACCATACTTGCAGTTTTGGTGTACTTGTACTTTAGCCTACATGAGCATCTGCATTTTAATTCTCCTCCACTATTTCTGAGGGAAATATTGTACTTTTTATTCCACTGTGTTTCTCAGACAACTGTAGTCACTTGTTATTTTTCAAATTAAACATTTACGTTAAAAAATATATATAATAAGCTATATTATAAGCAACAAAACCCTCTTCTCCTCTAAGATTTTCAGATGGTTTCAGCAACTGTTTGATCCCCAGAAATGTATCCACATTTGACAAAAATAAAATATTAGACACAGGTTTAGGATATATATATATATATATTTGGATACAAGCTAAAAAAAACTCCCCAAAATGGACAGAAAGCATCGGTATCACATGATTATCCAACAGGTTGTCTTTTTATAAAAATGGGGTTGGACTACAGCGTAGTTTCTCTAACGTTTGACTTCGAAAAAGTAGCGGAGTGAGACCTCTCGCACCAGTCACCACGCCTCTTTCAGTCACACGTAGCTGCAGTCTAGCCGCTGTAATTGTAAATGTACAGCTTGAATTAAATTATCTTTATGTTACTAAAATGCTGAATATGAGGATTATATCTGCTGCAACGTGAGAGGTCTCTGTCGATCGTTTGTGATAAACGGCATCAGAGGGCGAACTCTGTGTTACTCAACCGCTTGGGTAACACATGAATGGTGGCTGGTTACGTTAGCTAACACCAGTGTTTGCTACGCCAAAGTCAGATGCTACAATAGCTTAGCAACGTGTAGCATCTATAGCTAGGTGGGTTCATTGTATTTCAAGATGTTTTCCAGAGTCAGAATATGTTTGGCCAGATTGCGCACTGGTGTAAATTCAGTGGCATCTGTAAGAGTGACACCTCAACTCTGCAGACATCAGCATCGGACATTCAGCTCTGAGTCTGCTACTGTCAAGGTGAGTTCCCTCAGTGTTTCTGCTAACCTTCATCAGTTTTCAGTACACATACAAACAATGTCAAAAAACTGCCTAAAGTATAAAAAGTAAAAGTGGTCATTATGCAAAATGGCACATTTAAGACTGATATATATTAATATATATATATATTCACATTCTGCCATTGAACTGCAGTTTCAGGAAATGGTAGTGTTACAAACTTAAAAAACACAGAACTTGTATTAGTGAAGACTAGTTGTTTACAGTAGTAGTAGTAGTAATACATTTACTCTAGTACTTAAGTACAGTTTGGAGACACTTGTACTTTGTTGGGTATTTTAATTTTATGCGGCTTTATACTTTGACTCCACCACATTTCAGAGAGAAAGATTGTACTTCAATACATTCATTGCAATTCAACACATTTATTTGATATCTATACATACTGGTTACTTTTCAAATTAATATTTTACATATGAAATCTAAACTGATTATAAACTATGATGAACTACTATTGATTAAACTACCCAACACTTTACAAAGCTGTGGAAATAGTGCCACCTCAACCAGCTGACATGGCCCATTCTGCCTAAGGAGTACTCTTACTATTTGGTCGAAACAGAAAATTGAAGACACCAGTGCTGTGACCATCTGTTCCCTGCTCTTGTTTCAGGTGCTGTATGATGGGCTTTGTCCCATATGTGTGACAGAGATCCGGTTCCTCCAGTTTCTGCAGAGAAACCAGCCAGGGAAAGTGGATTTCGTCGATATCTCCCTGCCAGGCTATGATGGGGGGAAATTTAAGGACATCAGCTATGAGATGGCCATGGAGGAAATGCATGTGATTGATGAGAAAGATGAGGTAAGTTCCCGTTCCACTGACTTTACTAAGACTGTAATATTCTGTATGCCAAATTGCCATTTTGGAAGACTTTTCCAGATTAGTCTAAATTTAATATTATGCTAGGTGGCTAAATGTCTGTGTACTGACAGGTTCACCGTGGGATCCCAGCATTTGCAGTCATGTACGGTGCGGTGGGTCTTGGTTGGTTGGGGCGCTTCATGACGTGGTCACCTGTGAGGCCATTTATGGACCAATCCTATGCCATCTTTGCAAGGAATCGTTTAAAGTGGACCGGACGTGCGGAGGAGTGCACCACAGGACGCTGTGAAAAGAAATGACATTGACTCTTGACCAGAGAAAGAAGAAAGTATGTCTAATTAATTGTAAAGAAGAACTGGATAAATACTGCATGGTTAGTCCCCTTTAGCCTTTGGTTCATCATGAACCTTTCTGGAAGAGTTTCGGTACTGTTTTTCTGCTGAAAGGAAATAGCTGGATTAAATGTGTTTGCTGTGAAGATATTATTTAGTGCAGAATGTCTTTGCTTGTAAGACTGTTAGTCTCACTTGATATTCTTCAGTCAGTTCAGTTAAAACAAACCAACATCTTCCAAGAGTGATACACAAATGAAAATGATGACAGTAATAGATGGTTGCAAAATATAAGCAAAAATACTGTAAAAACAAGTTTCTGCAATTTGCTGAAAATGTCCTGAATATTAAAAATTGATTCATAATGTTAAGCTTAATATTAAACATTCAAAGAAATGTATCAAAAAGAGTTTGATTTCATAAAACAGAACAGAAAATAGAAAAAGAAAAATTGAACCATAATAAACATAACAGCGTGGAGAAAGAGCCTTTCATGATGTACTCTGGCAAATATACAGAGATGAGACTAAAACTCTCTGAAGTAAAGTACAGTCAATTTCCTGTGATACACAGTATGTCATAATGAATTTCATTCGGGTTTATTTGGATAAAACTATCAGGAATCTGCCACTAGATGTCACTGTAGGTCTAAAATTATATCAACTCTGAATGTGAGTGGAAAGTTCAGTAGATTCTTATAGTATCTGAGTGAAATCAGTGTTAAGTCATTTGGACTATAATGGAAACTCAAAAACCTGAACTGATTGAATTTGCATGATATTTTTAATCTGAATCACTTCTCGTAAGTCATTTCTGTGAGCTGGGGGGACAGATTCAGACACTCAAGCCTCAGCCTCCTGGTGTGAGCTTGTTTCATCAACAATACACTGTGGTGCAGAACAGTGTGTGCCTGTGAAAGGTTATGAGTTGTGGCTATAGGACACTAATGTTTACAAAACACACTGTGATTCAAGGCAGACACTTTTCTGGCTGATTTACATATTTTTTATATTTAATTTTTCTTTTCTACAACAGCAATCGTAAATGACTAAAATGTATCATAAGTTAGTCTTTAAATTACAGCCTGCAAATTACTGGGTGATTATTTAATTGCAGGTATCAATAACATACAGTCTAAAGCATTACTGCATTTTATAATATCCATATACCACTTCAGTCTTGTATCATGTTTACCATGAGGCCTGTGCACAGTTTCTAAGAATTGAAGTGCGTCACAGACCTGATTGTATTGGAGGGAGGTGTGTGTCTGTGTGTGGGAATGTGATTTGCTGTCATGTAAGAAGCAGCTAACATCGCCTTACTGAGACCCTTAAGTTATCTCTCCCTCCCTAATTTTAGACCTGTGCTTGGCAGTCAGCAGTGACAACACATGACCCTTAAGCTTGTGTGGTTTTTCTGAACATTGGTCGAGCTGGCCCACCCCTCTAGCTCAGCTCAACCAATAAGATTAGAGCTCTGCACGACAGAAGGATTGAATTAGGTGTCAAAACATAGTAGAAATAGTGTTTCTGACTGTCTGTCAGAAGTGATGTACTACCTTTATTACAAAGGACAGAAAATTGGTTGAAGAGGAAGTGTAAAGAAAGAAGAACCTGGTGCTGTTTCAGGTAAACCTTCAGTGTGTGCTTTTATCAGATACTTTCTGTCAAGGTTAGAGGAGCTTTAAGCTACTTTAGTTCATGACCTTCCCCTACTGAAGTAGAAAACAACCATAGTAGATGTTTGACTATTGCACACCTAAGGTGTTTGCTTTTCTCTCTGTGAAGGCATTAAAGAAACAGTGCTTGTGTGCATAGGTCAGTGTTTATAGATGCAACTTATTTTAAAAAGGAATATAGTAAAAACATATGTGTTTGGGATATGAGCACAGCTCATATATGTATATTCTTAAATTTTTATCCTATTGCAGATATCTATTGACAGAGGGCAGAGACTTAATCACAGGTCGTGTAGATTGTTATTTGCCCTGAGGTTTCATGTTACATTCCTGAGGGTACACAGTACCAGGAAACAATATTTGTGGTTGTTGTGGCACATGATGTTTGTACAGTCTGATCAGCTCACCGTGAAAGTATGCACTCTCCCCTCAGAATGATTTGTTTATAGAAGTCAGCATGTGCCTCTGCTCTGAACTCACATGCAGTGAGGATATTGATGTGGCAACTTTCCCTCATACTTCAATACTTTTGTTTTTTCTCTGAACCTTGGGCTTACTGTTTTGCGGGGTAATTAATTTTTTAAACCCTTGTTTTGTGGAAATTAATATATTTAAGTTTATATAACTTGGTTATCTAGCGTGTTTTTTTTTTCATAAAAACATTAGACATTTGTAACAGACTTTTTTGGCCACCATGAGGTTGACATTTGTTGTTTAGAATGAAATATCTTGACAACTATTGGATGGTTTGTCGTGAAATTTGCTCCATATGGTTAAGGTCCCTAGAGGATAAATTTCAATGAATTTGATGATCCTCTGACTTTTTCTCTAGCATCATGGCCATTTTTTTCTTTCAACTTTTTAACTTATTTATGAAACATGTCAAAATCTTTTTGGTGGATAGGCACAAGATTTTGCACAGATTTTCATTTTGCCTAGACAAATAACTGTAATAACTTTGAACCCCTGACCTTTTATCTATCACCATCATCAGGTCAAATTTTCCAATACAGAGAATTTCCCATGAACCTCAGCTGTACCTTGTTTATCTTAGCAAATGTAATCATGCTAATGCTAAGATGGTTTACATTATTCCTCATAAACATCTGCATTGTCATTGTGAGCATGTTTGCATTTAGCTCCAAGCACAGCCTCCCAGAGCTGTTATCATGGCTGTAGACTCTTAGTCTTGCTTTAATGTATTTGATTTTTTGTTGTTTGTTTTTTTCCTAGATTCTTGTTGAATATGCTCCAGTGGCATAAATCAATGCAGGCTCAAGAGTGATATTTGGACTTTGACTGATTGCTGCTCACGACATCAGGTCTAACATGGGTCGCTACCTCAGCACCAACATGTGTTCTGTGAACAGGACTTTGAGATCATACTGCAAAATTAGGTACCTTATGAGCCTTATCAGAAGGCATCCACGTCTAGCCAAAGCGCCGCTCTGCTTGGACGTCCCCAGATATTCAGTGCTGTCACCTCCTCAGCTTTCCAGATTTACAAGAAAAGCCAATTTTAAAAGTTCAAAACACAGTGATACGGGCTCTACCTCTTACCACGTCCTCAGAAATTTAAGCCAAGAGGTGAAACATCTTCAGATTGTGCGTTTTTACTCATCCTCTAATAGGGATGTATTCAAAGCCATTGGGGTCATTGAGGAGGCTCAGAACAGTTTTCATTGGAATTCACTGCGTGAATGTCTTGGTCAGCCCTTTAATAGACTGTCCAGACACATAAACATTTATTTCAAGAGGAAGGATGTTGTACCTCTAACTGAAAATGCCAGTCTCATTGTCGCAACTCCAGAATATCTCGGCAGGTCACAGAGACGTAGTCAAAGTCAACGAGCAACCAGAGAACGAAATGTATCTGAGGGCAAAGACACAATGCAGGTCTATAAGTCCAAAGACAAACAGCAGAGCTCAGGAACAAGTCCGTCAACCCAGGAAATGTCTGGACTGCAATTATTTCACATCAGCTCTTTGGCGACAAGATTTGGTGAGAGCTACAGTTACGTCGCTAATCACATTAACTCAGTCTTTTCCCGAGGTTTTGCAAAAGTTGAATTGCAGGAGAATGTGCAAACCATGTCTTCCACCCGAGTGACACACAGGAGACAGAAGAGGAGAAAAATGCAAAACACCTGTATTCTGACCTCTAAAGAAGCTGAAATGCCCTTAATAAAACCCAGCGCTGAACAGGCAACAGTGGAATCTAACAATCTCTACCTTCACTTTGCAAGACACATCAATAAATACTTTGGTGCCAAGGTTACTGATGAAGTTCAGAACAGGAGAGAGCACCTTCCTGTGGAAAAAAATAGCGCTTGCAAAAACTGCTCAACAAAATCTGCCTCACAAACTCAAGGTGCTACTTCACAGCTGAAGCAAGAGGCACCTATCGTTCCTGAAAGTGAAGGCCTTTTCCACAGCAGCCATATTACAACTAGCTTTGGGGAGAGCCATTTCCAAATGGCCAGTCACATTAATCAGTATTTCAAGGGTCAAAGGGGACAGGATGAGGATGCTGAAAACCTTCTAATAAAGATGGACCTTGGATCTGCTACCTCTGAAAGACTTAAGACCGTCACCTTTATGGACTGCCTCCGCCATCCCACGAGTGCCATCCCTGACTTGCTGGGTGCTTATCTAAAGCTGAGCCCGTTGACCCAGGCGAGTAAGCCCAAACTTGCCATGACTTCACCAGCAGCAATATTAAGTAAAAAGGTGAGTTGTGGTCACATATGAAGTGACTTCACATTGATCAAGAATATGAGAAATTTAAAATATAAAAAAATATCTGTTAGTTGAGAAAGTTGTATATTATGTCCCTGGCATGTCTCATTTGCCTAATTTCATTCTGCAAGTAATTTCTGGTTGTATTTTGTCAGCTTGTCTTGAGTCGGAGACAGGCAGAGGAAATCACACGTGGATTGATTGGCAGTCTGGGACTTGCTTCATCTCCAGGAGCTCTGATTGCTTGTGTGGAGGCACTCAATGAACACCTTATCCGTTACCCCTCGTGCAAAGCTGTAATGTGGCAGGTCTGTTGGAGGTGAAACAATCACATTTCTGAAAGAAACTGATTTTACCCCAGTCAATTCTTAAAGATTTTTCTGTTTCCAGGACTGTTGGAGGTGAAACAATCACATTTCTGAAAGAAACTGATTTTACCCCAGTCAATTCTTAAAGATTTTTCTGTTTCCAGGAGAAAATTGCAGTCACATTGTTGAGAAAGCGACGAAACTACAGAGACGACCAGGTGCTTCAGAGTGCCGTTAGAGAAACCTTGGCTCTAATTGGCTATGTGGATCCAGTCAAAGGTTGTGGCATTAGAGTGCTTTCAATTGATGGTGGTGGCACAAGGTAAGTGTAAGAAAATCAAATGAATGGTGTTCTTTCCATGCTATAGCCAGAACTAGAGCTTCAACTTACAATCATTTTCATTATCAATGAATCCAACAATTCTTTTCTGAATTAATCAATGTAATGTTTTGTCTGTAAAAATGTCCATCACAAGTTCACAAAGCCCATGGAAATGCCTTCAAGTTGCGTATTTCATCTGGACAATAGTCCAAAACCCAAAGATATATATTTTACTAACATATAAAACAGAGAAAACTAGCAAATCCTAACATTGAAAAGCTGAAAAGAGTGCCTATCGGACATTTTTGCTTGAAAAATTACTCGAACACAATGGTGGGAGAAGTACTCAGATCTCGTTCCTGAGTAAAAGTAGCAATACCACAGTTATGTTATACCAGTTAAGTGTAGAACTTCAAGTACCAAAGGTAAAAGCACTCATGTAGAATGACCCCTATGTTTATGTTAATGTTTATTATAGTATATTGTTAGGTTATAATTATTGATGTATTACTGTGCACATCGGTTTAAGAATAAAGTTTAAGATTAATTGATTATGACAATAGTTCCCAATCAATTTTCTGATAAATTGATCAACTAATTGTGTCAATTCAACCCAGAACCTTGTTTAAAATGGTCTCTGTCCTGTGTGCTGTTTACAATCAAATATAACATGACCAAAACACATCACAATGTGTGTATTATTCTTCATATAATTAGTATTTTGTCTTTGCCTTTTACAGAGGTGTGGTGCCTCTGCAGGTGTTAAAGCTACTGGAAGATGAGACAGGGAGAAAGATCCACCAGCTGTTTGACTACATCTGTGGAGTGAGCACAGGTGACAAAGAACAACCAAAAATTACAATATGATGGATTTTCAGCAACATCTTGATGCTTCCCAGTATGACTATAATTTTGTGTCTCTCTTTTCTGTCTCTACATGTGTTTATTAAAGGCGCCGTTCTAGCCTTCATGCTGGGTCTGGCCCATTTTTCTCTAGAGGAGTGTGCTGACATGTATCGTCGATTTGGCTCTGAAGTGTTTCGGCAGAACCCGCTGGTTGGCACCATGAAGATGGGCTGGAGTCACTCCTACTATAACACTGAGACATGGGAGACAATATTACGGTATAGATTCTAACAACACTATACATGTGCTTCCAGTGAAGAATCTCTACACATCAATACGGATTTTCTGCTTTTATCCTATTCAGAGAAAAGCTGGGAAATAGAGTGCTTATTAAAACAGCCAGAGAGGAGTCAAGTCCCAAGGTAAGAATATTGCAATCACAGTAGCAGTTGATTTTATGATCAAAATTATCATCAGACTCGTAGCACTGGTAAAAATACAGTTGGATTAATGATGCACAATGAACTGTAATTAGCAATAATTGTGGTTTTAACCAGTAAAATTTGAGTTGGCACAGGTTTAAGAGAGGGTATTCTTATTATCTGCTCAGGTTTCAGCAGTAAGTGCTGTGGTAAATTGGGGTACCAGTCCTAAGGCCTTTGTCTTCCGCAACTACAACCACAAACCAGGCTCTCTCAGCCGCTACGCAGGAGGCTCAGCCTACCAGATGTGGCAGGCAGTGAGAGCATCATCAGCTGCCCCAGGATACTTCCAAGAGTTCCCTTTAAAAAGTGATATTCACCAGGTAGGAGATTACATTCAACGTTTTCAGTGGAAGAATCAAAATATATTTATATGTTGAAAGGGGTCAGTCGTAGTGATGAATTTACAGACAAATTTTCACCTGAATCTGCAACTCGCCCCGGCTTAACAGAGCTTTACAGTGTCCAAACCACAACTTTAATGTTTTTGTTGTCCTCTTGTTCTCTGCATATGGCCAACCACACCTTAATGACCTGTACTGCACACAGTACAGTACATATTTATGATGTAACTGAAAAAAATCACAATACATCTTTCAAGGAAAGAATTAAATAAAACATAAATCTAGGATGAGAAAAAGTCCTAAGACCCTTACCTGCTCTCTCAAAAAACACAGGATACCCTGCTTTCCACGAAAAGAAAAAAATACATAAAATACATCTTGCTAACCCATCTAATAAATTTCATACAGTCCTTAAATGAAATCAAAACATACAGTAGGTGCTTTTATGTTACACTTCTTAATAAAGCTGCTAAGTCTTGTTGTTTGTTTATATTCAAGCTTTAATGAGTTAAACCAAGAGGAAGAACACATTATCAGAAAATCAGAGTCAGTTGAAAGCGCTCTTTGTTTTGTCTCACATGTACAATTCAGAGTAGATCATTACTGAACAAAGTACTTATCCTGTTCACTTGTAGATTTATTTCTTTGTCTCTTTGTAGGACGGAGGAATTCTCCTCAACAACCCCTGTGCCTTGGCTGTCCACGAAAGCCGTCTGTTGTGGCCCAATCAGCCCTTCCAGTGTGTGTTGTCCCTTGGCACAGGTCGCTATGACAATGCTAAGAGGGGTCCTGCCACCTCCACTAGCCTGAGGGCGAAAATCAGCAATCTGATCTGCAGTGCCACTGACACCGAAGGGGTTCACACCCTTTTAGATGACCTGCTTGCTCCAGACGTCTACTTCCGCTTCAACCCCATGCTGAGTGGTGAAGTGTCCCTGGATGAGAGCCGACCGGGGCCCCTGGACCAGTTGCAGAGAGACACCCAGACCTACCTGGAGAGAAACCGGCCCAAGCTGGCCAGGCTGTGTTTGGTGCTTGGGGCAGAGCGCTCAGCTGCAAGCAGAACTAAAGACTGGATGAGTGAGAGAGCCTGGGAGATGAAGCAGAGATGGGTATGAGTGGGTATAAGCATATTCAATGCACAGATGCACACATACACAGGCTGTGTACAAAACAACAGAAACAACTTGAAGTACAACAGCCTGTATGTAAATACAAATTTGGTGAAATGCACAATATGTTTGCTGTTGAGACCTCAACTGAGAAATCATTTTTAGCCATGCTAGCAGTATTGCTCTATGGATGATGATGTCAGTGTGTTGGTTAGTCCACCACTTTGTTTCAAAGGATTATCAATCTTGAATAACAACAAATGGACCACTGTTATCTTGATATTCATGTTCCCCAGATGATAATTCCTAAAGGCTCTTGTGATCCCCAGATTTTTTCCTTTTAGCACCACAATGAAAGTGAATTTTGCAGTCTGATGTGAAATGTCTTAACAGCTGATGGTTGGATTGCCATGGACCTTGTTTCCACTGAGGATCAATTGAAACAGCTAGGGTGATCAACTTTAGAGGAGGTGGAACAATCATCATCATTTATAAGTGATTTTTGAATTGAATACAGTACAAAGAAGCCAGACGGTTGCTGAATCTTCTGAGCTTCATCAAATTAGTCAAGATCATTATAAGATTGTATTGTAAGAAGTTTCTGTTTTTTTTCCGCTCCCTGGTGTCTCTGTACCAGATCAATACAATGTTGGCAACAGGTCTCACATACCATTCAAGTGAATGGGAAAGTCTGTCCAAACTTTTGACTGATACTGTACATATAACATATTGTTTTACTTCTATACATAGATGCACAGAACAAACATGCACATGAAATAAGCACTCTCATGCACTTTGTTTAAAAAATTTTGCAAAATTTACATATGTGACATAGTTAAGTTGATACAATTACTATTTTCTTTGAAAATGCACTTTTCAGTGTTGTTGACAGCAATATAAGTTATATATCATGCCACATTATGTTTTCGTATGATGTTGTATGATTTTGGCATTAAATTAGTCTAAAATAAATTTATATTTATGAAGACTTGTTTCCTTGTCATTTTATTTAAACTGTTTTGTTTACTGAACATATAAAATGTCTCCACTTCAACCCATTAAATGAACCACCCTGGTCTTGGCAAATGATTTATCAATGAAGGAGAAGCCATCCAGTCACTTGAATGTGATGGGTTAAATCCCCCCCATGTGTCTGGAAGCTGTGCCCTCCCTGTCCACAATAGACTGACTTTGTTCCAGACAGAAACAGCTTTGTGAGAGAGAGTGTGCGTTCGTGCCAGCCAGCGTGAAGATACAAGGTCAGTAACCCACCCCCCACATCTAACATCCTGAAAATCCGACAGCACAAATGAAAATATACAAAAAATTTCATGTCTCAAGAAAGTGGTAGTTGATTGTTGCTAGAAAGTTGCATGATGACACCTAAACCTAATCCACCATCTTGTGCATGACATGTCAGCTTTGTTTCACTTTACTCTCTCGTCACAGTGGAGATGACGTTATATTTATGTGTGGATTTCACAATGGATTTATTATAATAGGCTCTCAGGCCCTGTTTGCCAGGCATGTGACCCAGGCGTGGGACAGCCTGATTGACCACATGAGCCTCTGTTATCTCGTCTGTCACCTGCTTTAAGATGATGGACTGACAAATGTCACCTAAAACAGATGCTGCTGGAAAGGTGAAGCTCAGTTTGGAGATGCTGCTGTGAATCTACCCTGGCACTGGATGAGACAAAAGTAGTCAGGGGTCCAGCTTTTGCTGCAACAAGGGGAAAGAGGGACCAAGGAGCCGTGAAAACACTCAAAGGTAGGAATCCTAATGTTCACCAAATGTACTTTGTTTAGCCAATTTTGGGAATTAGTTTTTGGATAAAAAAAAGTACACAGTATTATGACACTAAGACACTTTTGCAAAGAGTCTTTTACTGTGTGAAGGAGTGCTGTAGTCCTTACAGCTCTTGTTAAAGACAGACATCAATGGAAGTCAAGGTCTTCATGATGTCATAGTCTGAGTTGAGAGGTGGGACGGGTCTACGACGGCATCAGCAGATTTGTATGAGAGTGAGCTCAATATTATTCAGCTCTCACACCTGCCATTGAGATGACTGGCTTGGATTTGAATAATTTTATGTCAACTTATTCTAAAGATCCATGGGTCTTTGTAGTCTTAGCCACACCAGAAGTATAACTGTAGGGATGTCTGTCGGTCAATCCACCACTCAGGTTGAGACAAATTTCTGATGTCTTGCAATGAAATTTTGTACAGTCATTCATGTTCCCCAGATGATAAATCCCAAAGACTTTGGTGATACCCTGACCTTTCCTTTTAGTGCCACTATTAGGTCTCAACAGCTATTAGATAGATGTCATTAAACTTGGTTCAGAAGTTCATGTTCCTCAGGATCAATTGTAATAACTGATGATCCCTCAACATTTTATCTTACGTCACCACTGGGTTGAAATTTCAATTTGTGCAATACTTTAATTTATAATCAATTACCTTCAAAACTAATGGCAGTCCCATCAGCCTCAGCTGTACTTTGAGCTTAGTGCTACTTAGCAAATGTTGGCATGTTAACATACTAAACTAAAATGGTGAAAATAGTTTATATAATTCTTAAACATCAGCCTGCTATCATTGCTCTTGTAAGAAAATGAGCTCCACCTTTTCAACAACATCAAAATGATGTACACATCAATGCACCAATACTTTTAACCCAATAATAAAAAATAAAAGATTCACATAAGTATTCGCATACTTTTGCTTGTGGCAGATTTTATTTCTACACTGTGGTATTGCTACTTTTACGTAAGTAAAGGATGTGAGTAGTTCTTCTACCACTGGTTATGCTGATGTTAGCATGTGGCTCAAAGCATTGCTGTAGATAAATATGGTTTCACAGAGCAGCTATGGCCGTAGACTGATGCTTTTGAGAAAATGTTGCTGTAGTTTACTGTCACCTCACCATAAAGTCAGAATTATAGTGCTTATGTTTGTCAGACAGTGATGTTTAGATTGCACAGTGATGACTTAATGTAGCGCAGTGTTTCTCTCCAGTGTCTTCTTGTGGTCTCCCTGATGCAGTGACGTCAAAGATGCAGATGATAGGTGCTCTGAGTCTGAACAGGCAGCTTGTGTGGTTGGACACTCCCTCCCACATGCCATCTGCTCTTACCCGAGCCCTGGGCACACGTGCCAAAGGAGACCCGCGAGCATAGAGAACTTCTTGTCGTCGATGAGCTGGCTCTGTCCGCCTCTCTGCCTCTTCACTGTGCAATCTGGTGCATGGCACTGATCACTGCTCACTGCCAGGCCTGCTTCAGTCCAATGCATGGGGAGAAAAAAGCTCATTCTGAGAGCCAAGAAGCTCAACATACCCCTTCTGCTTTTGTTTTCTGTGTGAGGCATGACTAGTTGTGTTTCATACATTTAGAGGGGATCAGGGCTGGAGGATACAGAGCATCAGCTACAAAGCGAACGGAAAGAAATCAATTCAATAATGATCAGTCATGCATTTATACAAGCTTTTCACTTTTTAATCAGCTTTATTATTAGACTTGTACATACAAATCTTAATTACAAGTTCAATTTCATCTGTAGGTAGCGATGCCACCTCATTTTACCCTTACCTCCCCCCTGCCAAGCTATTGTTTATCCCAGTCAGTGCTGGCCTGTATACGCAGCCCTGTGTGGATGCCTAAAAGCCTACACAGGTCAGCACTTTGTCGTCAGCCGTGAGATGGCTTTTGTCTAACACAAATACAGCTTCTCCTGCGTCCTTGGCACTGTTTCTAGGAAAGAGAACTGCTCCTTCCCCCTGTAGGATTTTCTCTGCTGAATGGTAATGACCTTTTCCTCGACCGAGGATATGCATGTGAATGGCTGAGTGTAAAAGAATATATATTATCGGTATTTGGGGGGAAAAAATGGGAGGAATTAAAAATACAGGGTGTGTGTGGAGGAAGGATGTATTGGAAGATGTATTGCTTACATATTTCCATCTTTAGTCAGGGCAAGTGGACTGTAGTCACATGACTTGAGATTTGCCACATGTAAAATTCATATGAGAGAAACAAACATTGCTTTCATCCTCTCTTCCCACATTATGATGTCATCAAAACCAACAGGAATGCAAATTGTGCAGAATATGGGTTGTTTTGTACTTTCATTTGGCCCAACCCAGTGTACTAAACTGATTTCTCAACTCACACTGGAACAGGTCAAAGCAAAGATTATTCAGCTGTTAAGAAAAAATCAGACTCAAGAAAAACATGCCCTGTTTAAAAAAAATCACATGAAAAGGCCCTGTGATTCTTGGAACTTCAGTTTTGTTTATTGTGCTGAAGAACTTTGTGACTGTGTTTGATGGAGATGGATTGTTCAGAATTATGAGAGCTCGGTCAGAACAGTGAAGTGTGGTGGGTGAGGTGTAGGTGGTGTATGGTGCTCATTCATTATTCATGAGATGGGTGGGCAGAGTGTAAGTGGCAGTGACAGAAAGAAACTCTATTACTGAAGTGTATGAACTCCTCTAGGGTTCTTGACCTGATGTTTGAAGGACTGAGGCATTAATTGATATACTGCACAAACAAGAATAATTTCCTGGAGAAAAGTCATTGGAATTATCGATGCACGGCGGAAGTCACAGGGATGGGGAGGAGAGAGCCCTGATTTGACTGTATATGACAAAGGTAAGTACTTTTTCTTTTGATCATGACTCATGGTTTGTTGCATATTTATAGCAATAGCGTGATAAAAAGGATCTGTTCAGTGTGAACTAAATAGTAGAGATGTGAGTGGTGAAAAGAAACTAAGTACATCTATTCAATTATTGTAATTAAGTACAATTTTGAGCTGATTTTATTTGAGCATTTTCACTTAATACTTCTGCTCTGTTTTTCTCTCAGAGGGAAAATTTTTATGATTTACTCCACCACATTTACTTGACAACTATAGTTATTTTTAGATGACAGTTTTTCATAAAAAAAACAAAAAAACACAAAAGAACAAAACAAACACTGGATAAAATTATAAAATGTAATGCAAATGTACATGTTAAGTAGTTAAATTAAATAGTAAGTTGTTTACTGCTGCAAGGTGAATGTATTGTGAACCATCAGTAAATTCTTAAGGTTTCTCATTCTGGATTTTAACTGCCTGAAATGAATGCCTTGTAGATGCTTTGTTTTTCTCATCATTTATTCTAAGAACAGGAGAACTGGTGACCAAAAGTATTGCTGGATTAAATGAACTGTAAAGATGGGGACACTGGTCGAACCAGCGCTGCTGCTACTTTTATGGCAGAGTGTTTGGGCTTTGGACATCCCTCTGGAAAGTGAGTCAGTGACTTAACTTTCTGTTGTAAGTTGCAATATGTTTTGTTGAAGCACATACGTTTGTAATATACCAAGCTGATTTATTTCTCTGCCTGCAGTCAGACAACCCCCAACCATTATAAAACAGTCAATGAAGGAGCATATTGTTGACCCTAAAGACACCATGGTCATTGAGTGTGAAGCGAAAGGAAACCCTCATCCCATGTAAGAGCTGATGCATTTTGTTAAAGCCGACATCATTATGTGCAAATTACTTCACTGATTTTTCTCTCCTGCTTCACACTTTTTGATCAATCATGAAGTTTCTCATGGAGGCGAAATGGAAAGTATTTCAACGTGGCACGTGACCCTCAGGCATCAATGCGCAGGCGCTCTGGGACGCTGGACATCTATGCCTGGAACAAGCCAGAACAGTATGAGGCAGAGTATCAGTGCATTGCCTCCAATGAGTATGGGTCTGCATACTCCAACAAGATCAGACTACGACTATACAGTAAGTTCAATACTGAGACTATTAAAGAATCCACTGTTTGTTTGGATCCATCAGTGACAGGAGATTTGCAGTGACCTCAGTGTGGGCAGTGACTCAGTCCATGTGCATCACTCTGAAATGAAGAGTCCACAACAATACAACAAGAACAACAATATTTTCTGGATAGTATAGAGTATAGAGTCAGAGTGAATAGAAGAGCTATTGAACCAAAGTTACAGAGGCAGAAACATGCTAGAAATTCAAGGTTTTTCTTCTTCATTTAATTTTTTTTCATTCTTGGCTAATTAAATGAGGGTAGAAGTACTTTTTGTGTGGAAAACACTTTGGAGCCATAGCAACAAGTCTGAACCATTTCTGAGTCAACAGCTATTGTAGTGATAAGAGGACCCTAAATGCTTTGCACAGATTGAATCAGGAGACTTAGAGATTTCAAACAATGTATAACATGTGAGTCCGGTACAGAGCAAAACACACCTGGTGTTACCAGTGGCCAAAGTGTCCGTTCGGTGGGATGGTGTATATTAAAAGAAAAGATGAGTTGATTAGCCTTTTTGCAACCATATCAGTAAACACAATAGGGACCATGAGTTTTTAGCGACCCACATATTTAACATGCACTGTCATCAAACAACAAACTTCAACCTTGCTGCTCAGTGGAGACCTGTAATATTCTGTGTTTTTGTAGGGGCTCCTGTGTGGCCAAGGGAGATTCTGGAGCCTGTGGTGGTCAGCGCTGGCTTGCCTCTGGTCTTGTCTTGTGACCCTCCACCTGGCCCGCCTAAACCTGAAACCTACTGGATGTCCAGCTGTAAGTGTCTCTCTTGAGTTAAAGTTCCTGATCCACAAAGGTTAACTGAATCATTTAAATCTAGGTTCAAATGCAGATAACCCTTAAAAGGAAGCATTTTATTGATCAGCTTACCAAACAAGCTTTCAAGAATTCTAGCCATTGAAATGTTTCACCTATGAACTTGCTGTATTTTTAACACTGTGTTTCATCTCAGGCTCATATGCAAGACCTTTCAACTGGCCGATTCAGACAGCTTTCCCCACCACGCAGGCTGTGCGGCAGGACCGTAGGGTTTCCATGGGAGTGAATGGAGATTTGTACTTCTCTAATGTCTTGTTTAATGACTCTACCACTGACTACTGCTGTAATGCCCGTTTCCCGTACAAGAACGTCATCCAGCAGAAGATGCCAGTGGTTGTTAAAGTGCTTACAAGTGAGTATGATCATGTGTTCACAGTTCCTGATGTCTAGTTTTTTGCCATTATCTGATCTTTTTGGTCAAGTTTGAGATACATTTTCAAGTGTACATATACTGTATAACCTGAATGCTACGTGGATAAATATCAGACATTGGCTTAACCTACAAGAACAGAAAATTATCAAATGCACTGGCTGTAAAAGAAACAAATAACTCAAGCTGGGGGTTCAAGATGAGGTTGTGAATCATATAGTGTAGCTCTGTGTTTGGAGAGTTGACCTGAGTTATAGTAGGTGTTTTTGGCCTGTGATGGGTCAGGTGAAAGTGCATCTATTCTTACTCTGTAGTAGTTGCAAGAGCTGAGTGAATGGAAAAGAAAACACAGGCTCTCAAGGTGATGACACATTAGCAGATATTCAATTTATTTGAATCCATACAGCATTTTCATGAGTAAACGTTGCTGGAAACTTATTGAAACGATTTAGTTCAATGTGTTTTCCCTGTTTTCATTTTCATAATTCATATCTGATTAAAAATGTAGCCAACTGAAAACTCTATTGGCAATATGTAAATGTAGCTTTGCATACATGCATGGCATCACAAAGGCCTAAATGGCAGACAACAGGGTTTATGATATAAATATACGGTACACACAACATATATATATATATACTTTTGCACATTTAAACTTCAAACTAACATTAACATCAACATATTTTACATGTCTTTCTTCCTACAACTCTGTCTTGACCTTACCCTGCAGTGCTTTGAGATGTTATGATTTGGCACAATACAAATAAAATTGAATTGAATTGAATTGAATTGAATTGAATTGAATTAAATTGAACTGAATTGAATTGAATTGAATTGAACTCCTTTATAATGATTATGCTTACAGATTGGACCAATTTGTTTTAATTCAGACTACACCCTAAAGAGACTTACTAAACTTACTGACTGTGGTGAGTGTGTGGTCCACGTCAGTTCTTAACAGGATAACTAGCACTGTTGTCTGAGAGGTTTAGCTATTGTTTGAGGTGTATGTGACTGGTGTGTTGTGGTTGGTTTCCTCTCCAGCTCGAACAGTGGCTGAGGCTGCCCCCACCTGGCTGTCTCCCACAGGCTCGTCCAGCTCCATACTGGTCCTGCAAGGGGAGGAGCTTATTCTGGAGTGTATTGCTGCAGGAGTGTGAGTGTGAACACTGCAAACCTTTTTTTTTTTTTTTTAAATATGGTACTATATATTCATTGCTATTGTTAACATTCTGCGACAAAGAGTTATGTGTCTGTATGTTTCTTGTTCAGTATGATTTACAATTTGATTTCATGTAAGTCATCCTGTGTAAAGCCTTGTTTTTCATCATCAAGGCCGACTCCTCATATTACCTGGACCAAGGATGGTGACGACCTGACAGTGACACCACGTATGAAAGTAAAGAATTTCAACAAGATGATTCAAATCCCAAAGGCATCTTTTGATGATGCTGGTGAATATGTGTGCACTGCTACCAATAAGATCAGCTACATTGAGCACACAATAACTGTCAGGGTCAAAGGTGAGACGCACGTTCAGAAACATTCAGTACTTTATTTTCTTACTGCACAGTAACCTTTAAACAACTACCTATACTTGTATTTAAAAGCGGCTCCATTCTGGTTGGAGAAGCCCACTGATTTGGTCTTGGCTCCTGAAGAAAATGGACGTTTGGTATGTCGTTCTGATGGGGCTCCTCGTCCCACAGTCAGCTGGTTCATCAACGGGGAACCAATTGAAAGTAAGTTTTTGGAGATCAATCCCATAAGCTGTGAAAATAAAATCTGAATGGTACTAATACCGTTGTATTTTTCCTTCCTTGTGTTTTTTCAGGTGCTACACCAGAACCTAACAGACAGGTGTCAGGAGACACGCTGAGCTTCCGCAGTGTGACTGCTACAAACACTGCCGTCTACCAGTGTAATGCTTCAAATCAGTATGGGTACTTATTGGCCAATGCTTTTGTCAACGTGCTACGTAAGTTACCACTCTATCATTCATGACATTTACAGTGTAAACATTGTTTTTCACATGACACAGCTGGAGTTGTGGAAGATTTGAAATGATCTACATTTCTAATGTCTACACTCAAATTGTCAGTGTCATGACACCTTAAAGTTGCTTGACTGTTGTACAGTAATAAAAGAACCCTAACCCTAAAGTGAGACATTATTTATATGAAATGTTCAAATTGCATTTTAAAACATTTGAAGAAGCCAGCTTGCCAAAAAATTAATTTTAATTAATTAATTAATTAAAGTTGAAATAAATTAATGAATCAGTGTTACTGCTTTCCCATTCTGTCTTTGATGCCAGAACCTAAGTAGAGTAGGTGTACATTTTCTTTCAGTTCTGCATTGAAATTGAATTTTAAAATAAGGGTACAGCACATAGAAGAACATAAGAGAACATACTGTAAGTTTAAGAGTTCATTATAAAATTAATTTTACATTGATAATGTTGCAGTTGTTATCTTTTCCTCCAGATGCTACACCACGTATTCTTGGGCCCAGAAATGAACTCATCAAGGTAATAGAGGGCAGTCGTACCTTCTTAGACTGCCGCTATTTTGGTTCTCCAGTGCCTGAACTGCGATGGTAAGAACAAGCAGTTTGACACTTCAAAGTAAGAGTGACTTCAGACATCAGTTCACAGTGTATGTGTCTGCATATGTTTATGGGTCTGCTCACACAGGTCCAGATATGGACAAGGGAATCTTGAAGGAAATCGTTTTAAGACCCACAGTAATGGGACTCTGGAGATCAAACGTACACAGATAGACGACCAGGGAACTTACTTGTGTGTAGTCAGCAACATCGCAGGAAGAGACGAGACTCAAGTTCGAATAGAGGTCAAAGGTGAGGGTTACCCTGTTTCATACTATAACGCTTAAGAGTTAGCAATAAAACTTTTCACAAATACATTCCCATCCTTCTTAGAGCCCACATTAATTGTCACAAAACCTCAAAGTATGAAAGTCATTCGTGGAACCGATGTGCGATTTGAGTGTGGGGTAAAAGCAGATGTCACTACTCCTGTCACAACCACCTGGATGAAAGACAAAAAGCAGCTCACTCTTGGCTGGAGGTAAGTTTTTTTTTTCAAATAAATAATATAGAAATATACACTCTAATATATATACAGTATATACATATTTGTGTTAGTGTGAACAAATCTCACTTGTGTTCCTTAGAATTTCTCTAGATGAATCAAATCTGGTCATCACTAATGTAAACACAGGCGATGAGGGCGATTATACCTGTGTCATCAAGAGTGAACTGGACCAGAAATCTGCCTCAGCACGCCTAATGGTGATGGGTATGACACGTTTAAAATAAATGGTATTTCATCCACTATACAATGTGTTAGGCTTTTTAATTGTTTGTATATTTCTGTGTGTAGACCGTCCAGATCCTCCCACTAACTTGGAGTTGTCGGATCCATATGAACGTAGTGTAAGACTCAGTTGGGTTCCTGGAAACAGCAACCACAATCCCATTACAGGTAGGTGCTGAAAAACTAGATGAACTCAAGATGAAATAAAAACATCTTGTGAGGAATATTGTTTTGGGCTATTTACCAGCATTTTTTAGAGAATTTATTTATTACTCTGTTACAGATTACTTAGTGCAGTATGATGATGATGACTGGTTGCCAGGGAAGTGGAGAAACCTATCAACATACCCAGGGAACCTCAACTCTGTCATTCTGCATCTTTCACCTTTCACATACTATGAGTTCAGGGTCATCGCTATAAATGAAATCGGACTGAGTCGCCCCAGTCGTCCATCTATGCGCTTCCAGACCAGTGGTGCACGTGGGTTTGATGTTCCAAAAATACATGTTTGTTGTCAGAGACGATAAATTGTAAACTATCAAAGAGAAACGTGTGGAACACATTTTTAAAGAACAACTTGACATCTCGGAAAACATGCTAAGTTGTTTTTCTGCTGAGTTAGATGAGAAGATTGATACCTCTCTCATTTCTGGGTGTTAAATATATAGCTACAGCCCGGACATGATGAGCATAGTGATCTTAGTGATCTTACCGCTGCATTGTTTTTTCTCCACAGCTCCAGATGTCATCCCAAAGAACGTAAAGGGTGTGGGTACGTGGAGGAATAACATGGAGATCAGTTGGGAGGTAATAACGAATGAACCCATTTGAAACTGTTATACTTTCACATTTATCTCGATAATTTTCTCTGTTGAGTATTTTAATTTCTACCACAATAAAAACAAACAATACTGGTTGCTGTGAACCTTCTTTCAGCCTCTGACATACAGAGAGTGGAATGGGCCCCATCTGAAGTATCTAGTGTGGTGGAGAAGGAGAGATTCCCGAGAAGAGTGGAAGAACGCCACCACTAAATGGCTGAAATACTACATATATGATGCAGATACTTTCACTCCTTATGAGATCAAAGTTCAGGCTGTCAATGACTTTGGGCTGGGCCCGGAGTCTCCTGTTGTCATTGGTTACTCTGGGGAAGACCGTAAGTACCTAAATCCATTGCATTATACTGTAATATAGAGATGAGTGATGACTGTGATGCGTAAAATCAATTAAGTTCCTGTTTAAGATCTAATCCAATTACTTTTCTGATTTTTGTATTGTATTGTCTAATTGATTTCTGCCTCATCTTCCTATAATATGAATCGTTTTTTCGTTTTCGTTTTCGTTTTTTCTATTATCATGTAGCTTTTTCTGCATATCTAATTGCATATCAGAAGATATGCAGGGATGTTCACCTTCAAAAGTTTTGTATGTACACTCTTGCAGATTTGAATGATTTAAGAGGGCTTTCTAAATATTTTGATTATTTCATTGAAGGGATTACAGTATATATTTTATACTGAATATTTCAAACATACTCAAAGCTATGTTTCATACTTACCCCTTTAAGCTCTGAAGAAAGCACACTGTTGCCAAAACCTCAGCTCATGGAATGAAGTCTGAGCTGCATATTTTTTCTTTTTGCCTTGTATGGATGTGACGTTATATCTGTGTTATTCTGTAGTTTTTAACAAGAAGCCATTCAAAGGTGCATACACACTGTACTGTTTACAGTTCTGCTCTAATCTGAATCTTAATGCACCGGAGATCATGAATGGTTTCAGATGAATAAACTGGTCACAGTGTTCTAAACACTCATATTCTTGTATTTAGTGTATGTTTTATCTTGGGGACATGTTTTCCTTCTCATCACCTCTCTTTGTGTTCATTGATAGCAAAGACAAAGTACTGTGTCATCTGTGTTTTCCCGAAGGTCCCTTAACGGCACCCCTGAACCTGAGAGTGTCCAACATTGAGAGCACTCAGGTGACTGTGCACTGGGACTCAGTGACACGCGGCTCTATTATGGGAGAACTCAAGGAATACAAGGTATGTTTATTGTGAATTCAATATGGGATCATGGACTTTAAATATAGCTTGTATTTATGTTGATAGGCAACAATAGAAACAGTACAAACTGTAGATTCCCCTGCTGATTCTGGATGATACAATCAAAGCACTTGTGCGTTTCACTTTGTGTGATAGTGTGCAAAGTAGGAATAACTGGTCTTGGTTTGCAGTAGGGCTAAAAGTGTTGATGCACACCTGATAGACAGCTGTACTGGAAACATCATGGGCCTTTACTAGGCATCAAATTCATAATGAAAAGCATTGATAAGCTAAAGCTACCGGCTGTAACAACCGATCAAAAGGCTAGCAAAATCTCAAACACCTGAGACAATTATAACACCAACAGATGATAAAAATATCGACAAAATGAGACACACAACAATATATGTCCAATTTGTTGGAATAGAAAATACAAGATATATATATGGCCTTTTAAACTGTATTGATTTTTTCAAAGCTATTTACTTTATATTTTCTCTAACAGTTGTTTTTAATATGTTTGCATTAGTTTTCATTACTTAAAACATTGGACAATGTAACATTTGATTATTATAATTTCCATGAAGTTTTCCCTTATAGTATTATACTATTTGTTTCATATTTCCTTTATGTCAATTGATTCTACTGTCCTTGTCTTCATTCTTAGAGTTCTTTAGTATGATTTGTTTTTCTTTAAGGTGATTGAGATATTCCCAGTTTGGAATCGAGTCTCTGAGTAGTTGTCTGATCGGCCTCCACTAACCCCTTATACTTTTCTTGTTTACAAAATTCACTTAACCTCAATACACTCTTTTATTTGTTTGTTTTGTATTCTATGGAGTTTAACACAGATCATCAATTATTGAGAATTGGCTCAGGAGTTTGTGATTTGGCTGCTGTTTTGACTGGCTTTTGACTGACTTATGGTTTTACTATAAAGATGTTGTTGTGGATCTGATCCCAGACAAAGGTCCTTGACTTGTACCATTGAAACTTAGTACTTCCAATGTGCAGGAATTCAAACTTTTCAAAAATAACAATACAATACTTTTTGGGAGTGCAGCAGAATTAAAATGCTGGGTGTGGTGCTTCTCATCTCTCAGGTTTACTACTGGAGGGACAGCAGCCAGCTGAGGTGGCTGAGAGTCAACAGAGGAATGAAGTCTCAAGCATTTCAAAACAATGGTCCAGAGCCGTCAGGGGTCCTCACTGGGCTCATACCTTACAGCAACTACAAGATGTACATAGTGGTGGCAAACAATCGATATGAAGGACCACCCAGTAATAATATACACTTCTCAACACCTGAAGGAGGTAAGAAAAGTTGGTTATTTCCCATCTAAAGGAACTGTAGTTAATATCAGCGTCCTCTTCCAAGCACAAGCAAATCATACATGTTTCTTTTCAAAGCTTATTTTTATCATCTCATGCTGTATTTTTTTCTCTAGTACCATCTGCTCCTAGATCCTTCAGGATCCAACAGCGACATCTGGACAGTATTTATGTCGACTGGGACTTGCCAGCAGAACCCAACGGTATCATCACTGGGTATTCTCTCAAGTACCAGACAGGTACTCCAACCCAACACCTGAAATATTGTCATATAAATCTTGACATGTTTCTGTCTTCATAGATTACATTTTCAAGGTCTAATGTTGTGACATGCAGTTTTCCTTGGAGACACATTAAAGCTTTGATAACAGAAAAGGAAGAGGTTTATTTCATTAAAGCTGACAAAGTTTTTTATGTGACACTCAAGACCACATACCCGTAGTACATAATAGCGCACTCAAAGACTGCAGTACTGTTTAAATGTGTTCTCCAGAGGGCAACGACGGCACTTTCTGAGTAGGTGAGGTACTTAATAGCTTAGTTGTGTGCACTCAAGCAGCATTAAGAGTTCTCCTAACTCACTGAAATTTCTACTCTTGCCACAGTGAATACCACCAGAGGAGAGGAGCTGCAAGTTGAGGAGTTCCCTCCAAATGTAACAAGCTTCTCAGTCCGCCGATACGACCGCTACACTCGGTACAGATTCTCCGTGGCGGCACGAACTCGGGTCGGGAGAGGGGAATGGCATACGGAGGAGTCACCCCACTATACCACTGAAAGTAATGTACTACTTGCTCCATGCATCAACACATTATAGAAAATAAACATTTTGGAGAGTTGAGTGTTGACTTTGGTATTTATGTGTGTGTCTCAGTATACGCTCAGGACCAGGTGGACATCTCCACTCAGGGCTGGTTCATAGGGATAATGTGTGCTGTGGCCCTCATTGTGCTCATACTTCTCGTAGTCTGCTTCATCAAGAGGAGCCGAGGGGGGAAATACCCAGGTACAGTGGTGATTGTTGATTAGAGTGGCATCAGATTAGTTGATTAATAAATTAGTCGACTGATGGAAAATTAATCTGAAACTATTTTGATAACAGACTATTCATTTAAGTCGATTTTTTTATGGTTCCAGCTTCTCAGGTGTAACAATTTGTTAAAAACAATCTGTTTTTAATTGTCCTAACATTATAGTAAGACTTAGGGTTTTGACTGTTGGTCAGACAAAATAAGAGATTTGAACGATTACTCAAGAAAATAAGAGGCAGATTAATCGATACTGAAAATGATCACCAATATCACCACATTGTTTCTCTAAAACAAGTTAGCTTGTTTTAATTTCAGTACGAGAGAAAAAGGACATTTCATTGGAGCCAGTGGATGACAAAGATCAAGAGGGATCATTTGATTATCGGTAAGTATTGGAGCAGACAGCTGGTGGAAAATGAAGAAAACCCACTCACAACAAATATCATTGATTCTATCTGAAAGCATGATTTTATTTTTAAGTTGTCAGTTTCTATGTCTATCTTCCAAAAACTGATTTACAAAATCCTATTTGAGGTTTCCAGAGTGTGTTCAATGATGTACTTGTAATGATATAATGGTATGGTAATAATACTCAACACTGAATAAGGCATTGTTTCCCTTAACACAAACAGTAGCCATGGGTTTTACATCCATTTGCTTCGCAGCTGTGCATTAGCATTAGCATTCTGTTTGGTGAATTAAAGCTGCTCTGTGGAGTTATTTTAAAAACAAACATTATGTTTATATTGAGTGTCTCTCACCAAAAGTGTATAATTGAGACCTTTAAACATGTCCTTTCTCATAAAACATTTGCAAATCAGATTTTTTTTTTCTTGACTATTATAAATTGTGCATTGTTGGTAGTCATGTTTGCCTTTGCTTGCACATTGCTATGTGTGTATGTGCATTGCTGCCACCAACTGGTGATCAGTTTATCGTTTATCACCTCACATGCCTGCATGTACAGAATACAAACAAAATGGGGATCCACTTCACTCCATAGTACTGCCAATGGTCATAAACTCCACAAGGTACCTTTAATCATTAATGAAATTTTACCATGATGCTACACAGGTACAAATCAAATCCAGTTACAGTTATTTATGATAACTCTTTGATAATACTTATATTAATTTCTGTTTGTTTTTGTTTTTTGTGTGTGCGTGTGCGTGTGTGTGTGTGTGTGTGCGTGTGTGCGCGTGCGTGTGTGTGTGTATTTACTCTACCCTTTTCTATCTAAACCCCCCACCCCAAAATCTCAACCCTGTTCTTTTCGCACTGAACCACTCAAGGTCTCTTGAAAGGTATGAAAAGACTAAATGTTGACACATTGACACTACTGACATTTCAACTGTACAGTCCAAATGATCCAGATTTTTGGAGCTATAAAGAGCATATTTGGCTGATTAATGATAATGCTAAAAATATATTGTGAATGTATGATCAATGAAATGTGATTCATCCTCTCATGTAATGATCTCAAACAATCTTTTCTTATTTTAGGATAGCACGTGTCTCCACTCTGCCCTACCCCCGAAGGTACGTACATGTACAGTATATTGTAAATGTAGCACTGCCAACTAAACCTGATTCATAAGAAAGAATTAAATCGACATTGTACTTGTATACTTATTTTTATAGTTCACAGGATGAGTTTTAAACATCTTTTCTGCCTTCTAGCACTGACAAAATGTACATTTAAAATTAAGTTTTAATTTTTTTTGCATTATTTTGTAGGGAGGAGGAAAGAGGGCTTCAAAGAGGCCAGCCGTCTATGGAAGCAATGATGAAGCGATCAGACAGTGACGATAGTCTGGTGGACTACGGAGAAGGAGGAGAGATGCCATTCAACGAGGACGGCTCATTCATCGGTCAGTACACTGGAACCAGGAGAGATGTCAGGGAGCTGGACTTTGGTGGAAGTCTTGAGCTTCACTCGCCAATGAACACCATCTACTCCCTGGCATAAAACTCGAAATTGAAACGTCCTTTCTGACTTCAGCTCAACTGTCGTGTAACTTTACCCGGCTTGTACCCTCCACCTTCAATTAAGAACCTGGAGGAACCTGCGGTGCTTGCAGTTTGTCTGCAGGAGGGAACAGCTGGAGACTGGAGCTGTTATACCCTCTGTGTCCTTGCAGCCAACACAGCTTTCAGCATTTTAAGAAGAAAATGGTGGATGGTTGGGACAATGTTTCTAGAGACATGCTTAATCATCTGACAAAAAGGAAGCTTGACCTTTTGTTTTGTAAATAAAAATACTGTGTTTATGCACATGCCTACACATACACTCAATTATGGAGAAAGACTGGCTGCACATCAGAAGAGACAGAAGTGGATCAGTTTATCATGTTGATAAAAGCAGATGCAAGGACCCACTTAACTACTATTATAACAGCTTACTTTAGTTTATTCTGCTAATTTAAATAATGAGATTTGTGTTACTTTTGTATGTTGATTGACTGAAATAAGGGTCAAACTTTCACCATCAGGTGAGCCACAATGTAATCTCAGAATTTAAATTGCCTCCCCTTGGCAACATGTACCTTTAATGTATAAAAATGTTGCTGGGGATGGGTGTAGGATAATATATAATATATCCAGGGACTGATGATTCAACTGGATGGAAGGTTTGCAAATTATGGCCTGATGGGAGGCAAGAGATCAAACCATTTGGAAAATCACCAAGCAACTATAAACCAGCTATAAATATGAAGTTTCTCTATTTCTCTATGAACTGGTCTCCCCATCTCACTCACTATGGCGATAGAGATTATTAATCCTTATGTAATAGCTTTTGTTTATTTGACTCCTAACATCAAATATCTGTTACCACAGTTATGTCCTAATGTAAATAAAGAAGAAATATTTATTTCTACCATATTTGATATGATTCTGAATGTTGAATTTTCTGCTCTGTTTTCTTATTTTAAGGGGGGTAACCAGAAATGGTTTATTATTCTTTGAATATAAATCTTAAAATAATTTTTTTAACCATTTACAAGTGACTGGAAAATATACTTGTTCTCTTTTCTGCCAATGGTTGGATGAGAAGAGACCTAACCATAAGCTTTATCCAAAAGGAAACACAGAGAGCCTCCCAGACAGGTGTAATGGTGCCAGAGCTCACTGGCTTTTCTCTCCAAGGGAGGAAATAATCATGCAGATTCTTAAGTCTATATGTTTTTAATGGGCTGGACCTGGATTGGGAGTATCCTGGAGCACGAAGAAGCCCACCAGAAGACAAGACGAGGTTCAGAATGCTCAGCCAGGTCAGTTTGGAAATTATTGTGATGATGCAACTATCTCAATAGAAATCCCAACAATAGAATACCCAGATATTAGTATGGTGTTCCTAATTAAGTGATTGGTGAATATATAACGGCAATGAATCTCATATGATTTTCCTCAAATACTGTATGTCCTTGCCTTTAGGAATTACTCACTTGAAAAAGAAGCTGCTGTGACACAATAAAGCATCTGCGCTCAGCACCTGTGAAGCTGGGTTTTGGTCCTACTAAGAGGTCAGTGAGCGACCAACACAAGAACAACACTGAGACATTCTTTAAACATTACAAACCTGAATTTACAACATGTTTTAATGGTATGAGTGAAACATAAATAGAGAAATGTTTCAAACTAAGACAACACGAATCTTGTTAAGGATTCTTTTAGTATCCTTTTCTTCCATGTCTACAGATGTGCACTTTCCTCCATGGAAGCAGTCTCTATTGGATCAATGAGCAAATGGTGCCCTATGCCATTAAAGGCAGTGAGTGGGTTGGTTTTGATAAAAGGGCAGACCATAGAAATCACAGAAATAATTAACGTATTCAGGATCTTTGATTTCAATGCAGCTGCACACTCAGCACATGCTGTTTACAATACCTTAGAATGAGCAGAAGGTGGCACTCTAACTTAAAACTTTATGTTTTGGCAAATATCACCTCAGGTGGTGAGTCTTTTTTAATCTGATCAGTTGAGTCAACTTTTTTTTTTTTTTTTGCACATGTGAGATTTAATTTCCCAATACTCTACTGCAGTGTATTCATGATTCGACTAGTTTTTGTTACCTGCCTTGCAAAAATGATGAAATCTCTAGTACATGTTGGGTACATAATAGATTTTTGTTTCCAAGATTACAGTTGTCACCCAGAGTCTTGGACATCCAAACCACTGGAATACAAATCAAAACTGAAAACCGGGGGGTCAGGACCTATCAAATGATCCCAGAGGATTAAAAGGATAAGGAGAAAAGACAAAATCAAGTTTATTTTTATACTTTATTTATTTATATTTTTAAACAGCCTTGACATGACATAATTTGAATTTTCAAACTACAACAGAACAGTACTTTGTATTTACTATATATTTGGGTGTAAACAAAGACAAAAATGTAGAACAATGTGTTACATTTGTTACTTGTATTGAAACCACAAAACTTGCATTTTAAACTGCAGCACTCTATAACTTATATCCCACAGGCAAGTATCTTAAAGATAACAAATTTGGGGGAACTCTTTATCTGGATGATTTTGCTGGACAGTTCTGTGGACACTTTCTACATTTAATTAATTGCACATTTTTGACATGAGTCTGACATGAAACACAAAATGATCACCTCACAAAAAGACAGCAAAATATAACACTGAATGAATGTGCTCCCAGGCTTGTAAAAAAATAAGTCTAGTTCCTACTACAGTACACTATATATACTGAGGCACATCGTAGGCTTTTATGTGTCTGTCTGTCTTGAGGTTTGGCAGAGGACAATTCATTTTTTTGCAGGGCACTGACCCAGAACATGCACTGAAAATATGTCAAGTCTATCTAAAGTCCAAAGTAGCATAGTCATCTTATCTCTGTGCCACAGTACATTTCTGGGAACATTAGAAAATGAAAAAGGAAAATCATAGAGTCCAGAACACTCTAAGAATGCTGTAATATTATGGATTCCCAAAACTGTGAAGCTGTTGTATAATCAGTGTGTAAGGTTTGGATGGTGGTGAACCCTTACAACCAGGATGAAGGCCAGCAGGATTGAGGTGCAAGCGTGATGGAGAAATGAACAGCATCAGTTACACAAGGATTGGTTTCAGAGCTCTGATTTTGGTTTACTGGTGACCATAGGCAAATTACAAAAGAAGTCCAACAGCTCTTACATGTATGTAGCAGAATGGCTTGACAACAAAAGCAGTCTGGCTAGTGTAGCAGGTCACAGTGGATGGCAGCAACAAAGGTGACATTCAACCTGACCCCCCTTCTCTGACACACTACCCTGGTTTCCCACCTGGCATAACTACCCACAGTCTCTACCAAAACATTACATAGTGAAGTGACCCTAAACACTACCACCATACATTTAGAATACCTATTTACAATTTAACTTTACTGATATTTACCTACACAAAATACACCGACTTTTGGCCTAATGCAGATTAAATAAAATACATAATAAACTAAAGAAATACCAAACAAAAGCCAGACTTAACAAAAACCCCTCTACCCACTCCCCTCTCTCTTTCCTGCCCACTTGGTACAACCTAACAAGGTAATTGACACCTGCTGAATCCGGTGGCTGCATTCCCATGTGTGCACTCCATGAGAACATGCCCCCTGGAAGTAGACCTCAAAGAGAGAGTGATTAGTAGAGGTTCCCAAAATAAAAGCACAACATAACAAAAATGAACTTCCTGTATTAGTGAATGTGTATTGTTTTTCAGCTTAGTGAGGGGGATGCTTGCCAGCTCCCCCACACAGTGTCAGACAGAAGCTAATAGTAAATATTAATATCAAAACTTGAGAGTTTAAAATATCAAATAAGTATACGTATATCAGCCAATGGTATATTTTTAAATAAACATAAAGAATTGTGACCAACATTCATTCAAATTTGGACATTTTATAGTTGAATATTCAACCTGTTAGATCTCTCTGGTGGACAAACGGTAATACTGTTTCTAAATTACCATAAATCTTGATTTGCATTTCTGGACTGCGAGTTCTCATGGACATATACACCAATGCACCATTTTAAATGAATGATGAATGAAGGATTGAATATATTTTAAGCATCACTCACAGAATGATTGCTACACTGCACTCTGTTGAGATCCTACAGTTTCTGCACTTGGAGGATTAATACAACTTTGACTAAGGTGTAAATACTTTGTGCCATAAAACAAATTAAATTTAGGTTTTCTTCGTGGGGTCAAAACTTCTGTTATTTGACTTATCTAGATGAAGCAACAGCTTTGTGTCCTGAACTTTGGATGATGTAAATTGTTCCCTGTTAATGATTGTCATGGTGTGTTTGTTTTTCATCAGCCAAAGAGAGCTATTCTGTGCTCTGTTTTTGACTCTGCAAGAGCTCATCCAAGCACAATCACCATGTGCAAGCTACTACTAATTGCAGGTAAGGCACAATGAAAAGCTATGAAATAGTTTTCTTGAATTGATTTCTTCTCTTTTTACGTAACATTTACTGACTAAATCTGCAACTTTAAAAGGTTTCTGTCTTTCCCTTGGCAGTTTGGGTGAGTTAATAAATTATACACTATCAACCATTGACATTGAATAGTCTTAGTAGCAACTAGTTCTAGTATATAGTCAATCATTATTCTCAAAGATTAATGAAAACAATATCTATCTTCTGTGTTTAGTCTCAGGCTCCAGACTGGTGTGTTATTTCTCTAACTGGTCCCAATACAGACCTGGGGATGGGAAGTTTATGCCTTCAAATATTGACCCAAACATTTGTACCCACCTGATCTATGCCTTTTCTGGTATTAATGAATCAAATGAGTTGGTAACCATAGAATGGAATGATGAGGAACTCTACAAGTCATTTAATGGACTCAAACAGAGGTCAGTGCAAAATCCTCTGACATTAACTCTTTTAAAATGTTATGCAAAATAATCCTTGCTGCCAACTAAATTTGAATATTCCCATAGGAATCCAAATCTTAAAACGCTGTTGGCAGTTGGAGGCTGGAACTTTGGTACACAAAAGTGAGATATTTGATACAAAACAACCGATAAAGATCAATATACTGTGTTTATGTCCTCTTGAGAACATCTTTCTTTCTCCAAAATGCTGCACAGATTTACAACAATGGTGTCAACACAAGCCAACAGAAATACATTTATCCAGTCCTCTACCGCACTGCTGAGAAAATATGGTTTTGATGGATTGGACCTGGACTGGGAATACCCTGCGGCTAGAGGAAGTCCTCTAGAGGACAGGCAGAGATTCACAGAGTTATGCAAGGTCAGAACCACAATAACTGTTCTGATGTTCAGCTGATGTTTAACATACATATTTACTATCTATCTATCTATCTATCTATCTATCTATCTATCTATCTATCTATCTATCTATCTATCTATAGGAACTCCTAGAGGCCTACAAGGCTGAGGGAACAGCAACTGGCAAGCCCAGATTGATTATCTCTGCTGCTGTGGCTGCTGGGAAAGCAACCATTGATGCTGGTTATGAAATTGCAGAGATGGCAAAGTACACCCACACGTTACTCCCCAAATTGTCCTCATGATTATCCTGTCAACATATTTTGATGAACTTGATCTCATTTGCATTTTATCAGGTACCTGGATTTTATTAATGTGATGACTTATGACTTTCATGGCACCTGGGAGAGTGTGACAGGACATCATAGCCCCTTATACAAAGGATCCCAAGACACCGGGGATCATGTTTACTTAAATACTGTGAGTACAGGGATTTTCTTTTTTTTTCTCCATCATGAATCTAAAAATATACTTTACTCTCCTTTAATCCCAATTTTCTGTTTCTTTCTCAGTAAGTGGGTTTCCATCCATCTATTTTTATGCACATTTTCTATATGTCCATAAAAAACATTGTAACATTGCAAAAATTTTTACTCTTGGCTAAGGAGGAAAAGTTGGTGTATTGATAATTGCAAAATGGAAACAGACTTAATATAAGCGAAATAATCATGACATGCATGAAGCATATGATTTGAACATCCACTGAAGTTTACAGCAATAACACCAGACCTGTGCGGAGCAATGAGGAGACAGTACTGTTCTTCAAATCAATACAGAAATCAAACAATATCAATCAACATAATTTTTCCATCACAATTTCTACATTGTTTTTTCCATTGTTTGAGGTTTGACTGGGACTCTTTTAACTAGCCTATGTCATTTTGTTGTGCCTTCTCTTTCTGCAGTGGTTTAATAGTACTTGAGAATGAATTCCACCAACTGTTAATCTCAAAAAACCCAACTCCTAATATGCACATAACAATCATGGATGAGAACACACATTAATTTGAAGATCTTCTGGCAATACAGTAAAGATTTGTGCTAAATTTGGATGGAAACTTCATTCTGTCTCTTTTATTTTAATTTCAGGACTATGCCATGAGGTATTGGCAGGACAAGGGAACGCCTGTAGAAAAGCTAAATATGGGCTTTGCTACATACGGACGAACATTTCGACTGTCTACTCAATCCAGTCAGGTTGGCGCACCAGCCAGTGGTCCCGCAGAAGCTGGTGTTTTTACAAGGGAGGCTGGCTTCTGGTCCTATTATGAGGTGAATCTGGCAGCTATTTATTGACCTGAACTCTCAGACTATGTTTTATTAGTAATAGCAAATATTCAGAATTGAACCCTCTTTTCAGATTTGCACTTTTCTTCAAGGGGCCAGTATCCATTTGATTGAAGACCAAAAAGTTCCCTATGCCATCAAACAAAACGAGTGGGTTGGATATGACAACAAAGAAAGTTTTGAGACTAAGGTAGTCAGCCACGTGTTTCTATAAAAATATTGTTCAAGGTGAGGTTAAAGACAATTTTTAAGTGCAAACATTGCTGTCGAACTGTTTCTATCGTTATTCATTCAGGTCCGTTATCTGAAGGACAACAGATTTGGAGGAGCCTTTGTCTGGGCTTTGGATCTGGATGACTTTAATGGACAGTTCTGTGGACAAGGAAACTACCCCCTCATCAGCTATCTTCACTCTCTTTTGGCTGCAGGTAAATGGGAAAAAAAAGGACTAGAATATTATATATGCACCAAGAATGAATTCATTGACCTTTGTTCATTTTGATTCTACTGACTAGTAATATAGTAACTTACTGTTATTTCTCCAGATCTTCCTCTGCTTCCCACTGCAGAAGCTCCTCCAACTCAAATGACTCTGTCTGTGACCAAAGACCAGCCTCACACAACGGTTCAATTCAGACCTACAATTTCATCCAAAATCCCAGACAACAACTTCTGTGCTACAAAGACTGGCGGTGTTTATGCAAAACCTGATGCTCCAGGTTCTTTTTACAGTTGTGCCAATGGCATCACCTGGATCCTAAACTGTCCAGCTAATTTAGTCTTTCGAGATAGCTGCAAATGCTGTGACTGGCCCTAAAAGCTCGCACATCATTTTACATTCCACAAGCTGTGGTTATCAACAGTGAGGAAAAAACATTCAGGATTTACAATTTCATGAGTGTATTTGGTGTTAAATTAATTGAAGAGTGTGTATGCTCTACTTGTAAGAAGGCAGATTTTGTTCTTTTCCTAAAACAAGTAAAAACCTTACCTCCTCTGCATTAAACAGAGAAAGGTAATCATTACTAAAGCACTGAGTTCTGGACCTCTTTCCATTACCCTGACATATTAAATATACTACAATACACAGCATACTATCATAATAATTTTCTACATTTATAAACAGGGTGACATTATGAACTTATGTGTGAGATCTGACAAACTCACACATGTTGAAATAACAGCGTCCTATGTTAAAAAACCATAAAAAACCTTAAAAAAGTTTTATTGTAATTTAGTTTTATTTTTTGAAGAACACCTAATTCACAGTCTAGTCACAGTCACACTAACCACCAGTGGAAATTAAAAATGAAAATAGAAAAATCTTTGCTTGTAAAACACCAAATGTTATCATCTGAAGATTTTGTAAATATAATTTATTTTACTTTCCTATGTAACATCCGTGAACCTACCTGACATTGAGCTTTGTCAGGCACTTGATAAATAGTTGACATTTGTACTGTACTCATTGTTTTACATTAGTACTTGCACTAATTAATAGGGTAAAGTGCACATATGACATATGACCTGAAAAAAGACTGGATTATTATTGCCTTACGAGGTGATAGTAAGTAAGGCAATAATAATCCAAGGACAACTGGATCAGCCTCTAGCTGGTGTGCATATTACAACACAAGGATCCAAATTTTATTTAACCATTTATTACATGAGGGAAGTTGCTCAAGGAATGGATGGAGGAATGGGTGAACAGATGGATGGATGATTTTCTGTACAACAAACTAAAGTCAATACATTGCCATGCATACAATATCATAAACAATAAAGAGAAGATAAATAAATCAAGGGTTTATATAAGTAAAATGGAATCTTTAAAGCCTTCACCCTGATTCTGTTTTATCATGGTCATCTACTAAGTAGATCCAATACAGTTTCTGATCTCAGAACAGCTTTCTGTCCCATAAAGGATCTCATGCCTGTGTGCATTCATTATATAATTTACTGCCAATTTGTGGTGGCAACAGGGTATTGTCTCTGAAAGATAGCTTGACTAGCCATTTTCTGTCATTTTCGTGGGTGTGACCGTGTCCCATTGATAAAGGCTGAAGTTTGTCAAGCGGAGAGTATAGCAGCCTTATTTTGGCGGGTTTGTGCATGCGCATTGAGAAATAATCCTGGGATCTATGACAGGTGACTAGCGATAGCCAAAGTGTGCTTGTCAAGATGTCCTTGTCTCAGCTTCTATCGTTCTTAGATCAGTTATGATATTGCATGCATTACACACATGCACAGATGTGTGGTAACTAAAGGAATAGCTAAGTAGACATAAGTTGTTGATTAGTGGGAGAGGGAGAGAGAGAGAGAGAGAGAGAGCGGTGACGCTGGCAACCGGAGCAGATTTAGCAGGTAGTAGTATAGCTGTGAACATAGAGTATGGTGTATGTGCACTCTAGGCTGTTTGTACTACAACTACAACTACAACTACAACTCACATCAAAACCTTAAAACATACCAGTAATTCAAAATGATGAGAGCTATTGATGTTTTTTTTCATCAAGAAAAATGCTGCTGTGCCCGTTGCACCTGTTCCTGTCCCTGACCCCACCCAGGCCCACATCATCGGCTAAGGCAAGGGCGTAGGTTTGCATATTTTGGGAGGACAATATTGTCCCTACCAATATTTGAATGAACTCGTTTACACTATGTTTAAAATGAAATTATATTAGATCATTCCAATGTAGGCATGCTAGCATTTTGACTGAAAAGGCAGGAACTATCTGCAGGCTCATGTCATGTGAGAGTATCACAGTGGTACCTAACATCACCAGAAAAATGTCAACTGATGTTATTTAACCATGTTAGCTAGCGTTAACTAGCAAGCTAACGCTGGCTTCTATCTGACTCTGTAGGCTTATAGTAAGGTTGCTAGAATGAGTAAACGTCATATATAAAGTATGTTAATGTAAGTTTAATTTCTGTGGAGAAAAATGCTTTATGCTTTACTATACTATGACTTATTTTATGCCTAACTATACTATGACGTTTTTATGCCTTCCTATACTATGTATTTGTTATGGGGCAGCACAGTGTTAAAGTGATTAGAAGTGTCGTGCCACAGTGAGAAGGTTCTGGGTTCGAACTCCCAGCTGGTGCCATCTCTGTGTGGAGTTTGCATGTTCTCCCCTCTGCCTGCATGGGTTCTTTCAGGGTACTCTGGCTTGTCCAGAGACATGGATATTAGGTTAATTGGTGACTATTGCCTTACGATGACATTTTCATTCCTTACTATATTATGACTTTTTATGCCTTACTATACTATAACTTTTTATGCCTATGAGTTTGTGATGGGGCGGCACAGTGAGGCGGCGGTTAGAACTGCCTCACACTGAGAAGGTTCTGGGTTCGAAACCCAAGCCTGGGGCCTTTTGGTGCGGAGTTTGCATGTACTCTCTGTGCCTGCATGGGTACTGAGGCTTCCTCTCACAATCCAAGGACATGCACATTAGGATAATTGGCGACTCTAATGACTTACTATTCTGCGACTTTTATATGACTCACTGTGCTATGACATTTTTATGCCTTGCTATACAATGATTTTTTTATGCCTTACTATTCTATAACTTTTTATGCCTTACCTTACTATGCAGTTAAAAACATTTTTATACTCATTAGCATTTGAACCAAGAAAAATTGTGTCCCTCATTTCATTCTGCTTGCTTGTTTTTGTCATGCTGTTTTAATTGTTTGTTTATTGTTGTTTCTCTGAGTTGTTTATGTTTTTCAGAAGTCGTAAAGCACTTTGGTCAGCTGTTTGGTCAGCTGTTTGCTTTTTTATGAATGTTGTTTATGACGTTTTTATGACTTATTATGCCTTAATATACCATGTCGTTTTTATGCCTTACTATACTATTTCGCTTTTAAACTGTACTATACAATTATGTTTTTATGCCTGACTATAGTCTAACATTTTTATGCTTTTTATGCATTAGTATACTATAACGATTTTATGACTTTTTATTCCTCACTATACTATGTCGTTTTAATGACTTTTTATGCTTTACTATACTACGACGTTTTTATGACATTTTATGCCTCAATATTCTATGTCGTTTTTATGACTTTTTATGCTTTACTATACTACGACGTTTTTATGACATTTTATGCCTCAATATTCTATGTCGTTTTTATGACTTTTTATGCTTTACTATACTACGACGTTTTTATGACATTTTATGCCTCAATATTCTATGTCGTTTTTATGACTTTTTATGCTTTACTATACTACGACGTTTTTATGACATTTTATGCCTCAATATTCTATGTCGTTTTTATGACTTTTTATGCTTTACTATACTACGACGTTTTTATGACATTTTATGCCTCAATATTCTATGTCGTTTTTATGACTTTTTATGCTTTACTATACTACGACGTTTTTATGACATTTTATGCCTCAATATTCTATGTCGTTTTTATGACTTTTTATGCTTTACTATACTACGACGTTTTTATGACATTTTATGCCTCAATATTCTATGTCGTTTTTATGACTTTTTATGCTTTACTATACTACGACGTTTTTATGACATTTTATGCCTCAATATTCTATGTCGTTTTTATGACTTTTTATGCTTTACTATACTACGACGTTTTTATGATATTTTATGCCTAACTATACTATGACATTTTTATGACTCTTTATACCTTACTATACTATGATGTTATTGTGAATTTTTATGCCTTACTATACTATGTCCTTTTTATGCCTGACTATATTATGTTTTTTTATGACTTTTTATTCCTTACTAGACAATGTCGTTTTTATGCCTTTTTATGATGTACTATACTATGTCTTTTTTTTACTTTTTATGCCTCACTATATTATATCTTTTTTATGCCTTAATGTTCTATGACGTTTTATGACTTTTTATGGCTTACTATACTATGTCCTTTTTATGCCTTACTATACTATGACATTTTTATGACTGACTATGCTATGACGTTTTTATGACTTTTTATTCCTTACTTGACAATGTTGTTTTTATGCCTTACTGTTCTATGACGTTTTATAACTTTTTATGCTGTAGAATACAATGATGTTTTTATGTCTGACTTTAGTATAACGTTTCATGACGTTTTTATGCCTTCCTGTACTATGACGTTTTTATGACTTTTTATGCCTTAATGTACCATGTCGTTTTTATGCCTTACTATACTATTTCGCTTTTAAACTGTACTATACAATTATGTTTTTATGCCTGACTATAGTCTAACATTTTTGTGACTTTTTATGCCTTGCTATATTATGTTTTTTTATGACTTTTTATGCCTTACTATTCTACGATGTTTTTATGACATTTTATTCCTCAATATACTGTCTTTTTTTGACTTTTTATGCCTTACTATAATATGTCCTTTTTATGCCTTACTATAATATGTCCTTTTTATGCCTTACTATACTATGACGTTTTAATGACATTTCATGCATTACCATAATATGTCGTTTTTATGACATTTTATGCCTTACTATACTATTTCGCTTTTAAACTGTACTATACAATTATGTTTTTATGCCTGACTATAGTCTAACATTTTTGTGACTTTTTATGCCTTGCTATATTATGTTTTTTTATGACTTTTTATGCCTTACTATAATGTCCTTTTTATGCCTTACTATAATATGCCCTTTTTATGCCTTACTATACTATGACGTTTTAATGACATTTCATGCATTACCATAATATGTCGTTTTTATGACATTTTATGCCTTACTATACTATGTCATTTTTATACCTGACTATACGATGACATCAATCTGCTTGCTTGTTTTTGTCATGCTGTTTTAATTGTCTGTTTATTGTTGTTTCTCTGAGAATGTTAATGTTTTCCAGAATTTGAAAAGTACTTTGGTCAGCTGTTTGCTTTTTGTGGTTGATGAATAAAATGTGATATGAATTAATTTGAATCGTTTTTTTTTTATGCCTTGCTATACAGGGAATTTTTTTAATGTCTTACTTTACTCTGGCTTTTTTATGACTTTTTATGCCTTGCTATACTATGGCGTTTTTAAGTCTGACTATACTATGATGTTTTATGACTTTTTTTACCTGACTATATTATGATGTTTTTATGACGTTTTATGTCTTACTATACTGTGTCCTTCTTATGCCTTATTATACTATGACGTTTTTTTGAATTTTTAATCCTTACTATACCATGACGTCTTATGTTTTTTTATGCCTTACTATACTATGTCGTTTTTATGCTTTTTATGCATTAGTATACTATAACGTTTTTATGATATTTATGCTCACTATTCTATGTCATTTTTATGACTTTTTATGCCTCCTTATACTATGTTGTTTTTATGCCTTATTGTACTATGACGTTTTATGATTTTTTATGCCTAACTATACTATGACATTTTTTGTGACTTTTATGCCCTACTATACTATGACGTTTTTGTGACTTTTTTATGCGTTTTCATGACTATGTCGTTTTTAAGCCTTACAATACTATGACGTTTTTATGACTTCTTATGACTTACTATACTATGACGTTTTTATGCCTTTTCATGCCATACTCCACTATGTCCTTTTTTTTGACTTTTTATGCCTAATATATTATATCGTTTTTATGCCTTATTATACAATGATGTTTTTATGCCTTTTTATGCCATACTATACTATGTCTTTTTTTTACTTTTTATGCCTTGCTATACTATGTCCCGTCTATGCCTTAATATACTATGTCTTTTGTATGACTTTTTATCTCATACTATACTATGTCTTTTTTTGACTTTTTATGCCTTACTATACTATGTCGTCTTTATACCTGTCTTAATGATGACGT